AATCCACTATGAAAATCCATTAGTTCTGACAAAAATACCTCCTTCCCAATATTATCAAGCACCAAATTTGCTGTCACTGTAACTTTGATTATTTCATGTACCATGATTTTAATGATGGAAAAGCAAAAACAAAAACAAAAACTAACCCAGAAGTCTTTGAATATGATAACTGATGCACCTTGCTTTTGTTTCTCTCATAGGCATGAAGTTGATTTAAACTATAATCAACTCATAGCTAAACCTTTGGTTAATTTAATTAAAAAAAAGAAAGAAGAAAACCAAATTACTAGTATCAAGAGTGAAAAGGGTGAAGCTACCACCAAGTAAGAGGAAATTAAAACAATAATTAGGAATTATTTTGCCCAACTATATGTCAACAAATTTGAAAATCTTAGTGAAATGGACACATATTTACAAAAAATATAAATTGCCCAGATTAACAGAAGAGGAAGTAAAATTACTTAAATAACCCAATCTCAGAAAAAGAAATTGAACAAGTCATTGATGAACTCCCTAGGAAAAAATCTCCAGGGCCAGATGGATTTACATGCGAATTCTATCAAACATTTAAAAAACAATTAATTCCAATACTATATAGACTATTTGGGAAAATAGGTGAAGAAGGAGTCTTGCCAAATTCTTTTTATGATACAAATATAGTGCTGATACCTAAACCAGGAAGAGTCAAAACAGAGAAAGAAAATTATAGACCAATTTCTCTAATGAATATAGATGCAAAAATTTTAAACAAAATATTAGCAAATAGATTGCAGCAACTTATCACAAGAATAATACACTATGACCAGGTAGGATTTATACCAGCAATGCAGGGCTGGTTCAATATTAGGAAAACTCTCAGTATGATTGAGCATATCAACACAAAACTAACAGAAACCACATAATCATCTCAATAGATACAGAAAAAGCTTTTGACAAAATACAACACCCATTCCTATTAAAAACACTAGAAAGCATGTGTATAAATGGAGTCTTCCTTAAAATAATAAATAGCATCTATCTAAAACCTTCAGCAAGCATAGTATGTAATGGGGACAAGCTAGAAGCATTTCCAATTAGATCGGGGGTGAAACAAGGATGTCCATTATCACCACTGTTGTTCAATGTCATATTGGAAATGTTAGCTTTAGCAATAAGAGAAGAAAAAGAAGTTGAAGGCATTAGAATAGGCAAAGAAGAAACAAAACTATCAATCTTTGCAGATGATATGATGATATACGTAGAGAATCCTAGAGAATCAAGTAAAAAACTACTTGAAATAATAAATAACTTTAGCAAAGTTGCAGGCTATAAAATAAACCCACACAAATCATCGACATTTCTACATATTACTAGCAAAGTCCAACAGCAAAAGATAGAAAGAGAAATTCCATTTAAACTTACTGTAGACATTATAAAATATTTAAGAGTCTACCTCCTGAAACAAACCCAGGAACTCTATGAGCACAATTACAAAACACTTTTCACACAAATAAAGTCATATCTAAATAATTGGAAAAAACATCAGTTGCTCATGGGTAAGCCAAGCTAATATAATAAAAATGACAATTCTACCTAAGCTAATTTACTTATTCAGTGCCATACCAATCAAACTACCAAAAAATTATTTTATAGAGTTAGAAAAAATAATAACAAGATTCATTTGGAAGAACAAAAGGTCCAGAATATCAGGGGAACTAATGAGAAGAAATAAAGGGGAAGGTGGCCTAGCTATTCTAGATCTTAAATTGTATTATAAAGCAGCAATCATCAAAACTGCTTGGTACTGGCTAAGAAATAGAGTGGTGCATCAGTGGAATAGGTTAAATATGCAAGACACAATAGTCAGTGACTATAGTAATCAATTATTTGATAAACCCAAAGACTCCAGCTTCTGGGATAAGAACTCACTGTTTGAAAAAAACTGCTGGGAAAACTGGAAAAGAGTATGGCAGAAACTAGGCATAGACCAAAATCTCACACCATATACCAAAATAAAGTCTAAATGGGTTCATGATTTAGATATAAAGGCTGATACTATAAGCAAACTGGGAGAGCAAGGAATAGTTTTCCTGTCAGATCTATGGAGAACAGAAGAACTCATGACCAAACAGGAGATGGAGAACCTTATGAAAAGCAAAATAGATAATTTTGATTACAAAGCCAATGCAACTAAGATTAGAAGGCAGGTAGAAAATTGAGAAAGAATTTTTACAACCAGTCTCTCTGATAAGGGCCTCACTTCTAAAATATATAGAGAATTAAGTCAAATTTATAAGAATACAAGCCATTCCCCAATTGATAAATGGTCAAAGGTTATGAACAGACAGTTCTCAGATGAAGAAATTAAAGCCATCTACAGTCATATGAAAAAATGCTCTAGATCACTATTGATTAGAGAAATGCAAATCAAAACAACTAGGAGGTACCATGTCCCACCTATCAGATTGGCCAACATGATAAAACAGGAAAATGATAAATGTTGGAGAAGATGTGGGAAAATTGGAACACTAATACGTTGTTGGTGGAGTTGTGAAGTGATCCAACCATTTTGGAGAGCAATTTGGAACTATGCCCAAAAGGTTATGAAAATGTGCATACCCTTTGACCCAGAAATAGCACTTCTAGGACTATATCCCAAAGAGATCATACGAATGGGAAAAGGACCCACATTTACAAAAATATTCATAGCAGCTCTTTTTGTGGTGGCAAAGAAGTGAGCAGAACCAAGAGAACGTTGTACACAATAACAGCCACATTGTGCGATGACTCATATTGATAAACTTAACCCTTCCCAGCAATACAAGGATCTAAGACATCTTCAGAGGTCTCATGATGGAAAATGCTATCCACATCCAAAGAAAAAACTATGGAGTTTGAATGCAGATCAAAGCATACTATTTGCTATTTTTTTTCTTCTGTTGTGTTTTGTTTCCTCTTTCTGGTGGTTCCTCCTATTAGTTCTAATTCTTACTTACAACATCACTAATGTGAAAATATGTTTAATAAAAATGTATTGTGCACTGTCTTGGGGAGGAAGGTGGGAAAGGAGGGGAGAAAAATATAAAACTTAAAAGCCTATGGAAGTGATTGTTGATAAATCAAAATAAAGTAATAAAAAAAATAAATTAGCAAAAAAATAAACTATAATCAACTCTTAACTCTCCACATGTAAAATAGCCACCTTGTGGATTATATGTGCCATGATGGTAATTCTAAGCCAGCTCAGCCTTTTCCCCCTGTTTTCCATACTTTAGACCACCTCTTCTTACTGCCTAGGCAACCTGTGCTCCAGGAGCAAGAATAACACAATTAGGGAGGTAATTTGCTAGAAAAAAATTAAGATTACATTATATTCCAAGGACAAATAGAATCATGGGATCTGAGTGGAAGAGACCTCCAAGATACTCTTGTGGAACCCAAACTTGAAGAAGTTATTTTCTCAATAGTATCCCTATCTAGGCCATTCAGCCTTTGCTTCTCTTTTACAGTGATGGGGAGCCCATTGAGACATAAGACATGACACAGTATAACCACTTTTATTGACTCCAATTCATGGGAATTTTTTTTTTATATTGAACCAAAAGTTGATCTAAGAGCAAAAGTGAATGTTAAGTCACCTGTAAAACTTATTTACATATTTAATTTTTTGAAAAATTGTGTTTTTACATCTTATAATTGTTCTGTTCCACTGGAGTATAGAATCCCAAAGAAAGCGATATTGCCTCCTGAGAGGTGCTGCAATGATCTGGGGGGGGTGTAGTAGTAGCTTTGGGTACAATTGGGGGGCATTGAATAAAAATAAAGGAGCGGTAGAAGCATAAAGAGAGAAGATAAAATTTTGAAAAACCATTTGTTCATGTTTCATCAGTTGTATGACAGAGTTAAAGTCATAGTGATTACATTATTTTCCAAATAAACACATAAAATGCAAGTTATAACTGATCAGTGGTCAAGTTTGCCAACAGCTCTTAACAAGCACGTGTTGGCAGGTGAGCACATCAGGCATTGGCAGGACTATGTATGTGTAATGATTTGTTTACAGCATGCTATTATATGGTTACATGACACAATAATTGTGTCATCAAAATTTCAATGCAGGAAAAAACCCCACAAATTTACAATAGATTATTAAATTTAAGATGTGTCATTTCAAAAAATATATATATTTTTGAAATGACACAAATTTTAAAAAAAATTAAAGAGTTAAGGAAAGTATATTTCCAGGGGGGCTATGAGTAATTTTTTTAAAGGGGTCGGTAGGCCAAATAAGTTTGGTAACCTCTGCACTAGATAGTATCCAAAACATCCTCTTTGTTTTGTCCAGTTGTCCTCTGAATGACCAAGCACCCCTATTTAGGAAGGGACCAGTGACCTAAAAAGAAGGGCCTGAAAATGTTTCTTTAAACAACGCCAGCCTTAGACAAAGATCTTATCAGTTTTGTGAGGTCACAGCTCTGAAACAATTCTATTGCATTCTGAAACTTAATACACCAGAACGTTGCTGTAAACACTGTACTGGTGAGTCAAATCCAAAATTGCCTGCTTGCATTTTGGCACATTCTGAAAGATTTTTCCCTTTAAAATCTGTTTCCCTATTTCCTGATTGACAGTAAGAAATATTATTCTTGGTACAGAAGACATTTGGGCTATAGACATGTTTATGGATCATAGTGCCATTCTAAGAATCTCCCTTTAGCCCATCCCTTTGCTTTTGGTGAACATTTACACTACTCACTGGAGAAGCTGGACTCCAACTTAGGTGATTAGCTCTAGAAACACTTGTGAAAGTAGCAGTGCACTTACTAAATATTTTAAAGATCATTCATGTCTAGAAAAGTCTGGCTTCAGGTTTTGACCAAAAAAAGAATGAAACATGCAGAAATAAGCCCATTTATTTTGATTATTTGCTCAAGTAAGTTCTCATTGCAATGTGGATATTAATAAACTCTTCATTTGAACGTAGACTGCTCACTTCACACTGTATTTTGGTTTCATTTTAGTTCTTTTACGAAGCTCCCTCATCTGGCAGGAACAAAGCAAAATTTTCTTCTTGCGAAGAAAATCCAAAGTCAGTGGAAGAAATTTGGACTGGACTCTGCTGAGTTGGTTTATTATGATGTCCTCCTATCTTACCCTAATGACACAAATCCCAACTATATCTCAGTTGTTGATGAACATGGAATTGAGGTGAAGTGAAACTATAATTATTCTTTAAATTATACAAAGTTGTTTTATAATGAATTAGCAAGTGGAATGGATCAAAATCTGAATTGTTGTCAATTTGGGGTGATGTGAGGGCCAAAGTTCAGGATCAGATCATTTCTAACTGGGATCAGGGAAGCTTTCATGGTCAAGTTGATTTTGAGACAGGCCTTAAAAGAGTGGTATAATTTTAGTAGGCATAGAAAGGTAGCATGAGGGGAGAATATGCCAGACCTTGGAGACATTCTGAGCAAAGTCAAAGGTAGGGGAAAGAGGAGAATATGCATGGGGGCAAGAAGTAGTTTAGTTTGTCTGGGGCACATAGAATGTGTAGAGAACAAGATAAAACATAAAAGGCATTGAGGTACCAGGTGGTATAGGAATGTATATATCAGGATAAAGAGTTTAAACTTTATTCATTTGGCAGTAAGGACTCATTGAAGGGTTTTAAAAAATGATTGACATAATAATGCCTGTGCTAAAGGAAGATTAATCTGGAAGTGGTGTGAAGGATGGATTGAAGAGGAAAGAGAAGTGGAGGCAAGAAGATGGATTAGAAGGTGTTTAGAATGGTCTGGCCATGTGGTAATAAAGGCAAATAGGATGATAGCAGTGCTTGCAGAAAGGAAGAGACTGATTCAAGAGAAAGTGGGACTTAGGGTTTATTGAATTTGAGTGACTGAGGCAGAGGGGATTGTTGAAGACACAAAATATCAAACATTGATGACTGGGTGAATGCTCCAGTGATGCCACTGACAGAAATAGAGATGGTACTACGACGTTATGATTGAGAAGTGGTTTTGGGGCTGAAGATAATAAGTTGGGTTATGGACATTTTGAGTGGGTGATTACAATAATTAAATTCGTTCTTCAATGCCCTTAATGCAATTTTTTCATTGAATTACATATGGCACTAAGGGTAGGATTGGGAGCATTGCATTTTTATATATACTTCTGAGCAAAATGGGTTATTGTTTAATAACATAGAGCCATCCATTAAAATTTATTACATCTTCCCTCCTAGATTTTCAATACTTCATTCTTTGAGATACCCCCAGGTGGATATGAAAATGTTTCAGAGATTGTCCCACCATATAATGCTTTCTCAGCCCAAGGCATACCAGAGGTAAAGTAAAAGATATGGCCTTTTGAAATCTTAAAAAAATTCTTTGATGATATGAAATCTTGTGTAGAGATCTATGCTCATGTTATTGGCTGACTGAGCTCGAGGAATCACCTTGTAAGTTTATATAACATTTCATACATAAACTAAGGTTCAGTGAAGCACAGGCACTGGGGTTTTAGATACTGTCCTCGGAAGTAAGAAAGAGATAAATTGTTGAATACACCCTTATAGTCAGAAAAGGTTATCTGCTCTTGCATGGGAAAGTATTATAACTCTTTGGTGCTCAAAGCCTTCCCATTTCCCCTTCCTCCCACCTCCTTCCTGATTGGTGAGTGTGACATAATAATGGACATCTATTTGTGCCTAAGCAGGCTCTGGCAGCTATGCTTCTCTTTACTCTCTGACCATCTTTTCATCTGCCTCCCTGCTGCCAGGTACATAACCTATGATCCCTCTCTTTCCCCTTTCTAATTCAGGAACTATAATCAAATCAGTATTGGCATCGTTTCTTGAAAGAGTGTGTCAGTTGAATCCCCTATGACTCCAGTCGTTCCTGTAATTTTCCAAACCACAATACCCCAAACCTATTTGTGCCAGTAGGAAGCCATTACTCACCTACTATCGTGATATCTTCTTGTACAAGAATATAAGCTTTTTGAGGGAAAGTTTTCATTTTCCATTTGCATCCCCAGTGCTTACAGTAGTAAATGCTTGGTACATAGTGAGCATTTAATTATTTTTGTTCATGTATTTTGAGCTGACTTTTGATCTTTTTATAATAGAAATTCTTAAAATAATGCTATGGCTAGATTTTAAAAAAATAGATTTTATTTTTTCAGTTTCTTATAATTCAAGTAAGTCATTAAGATCACTTGAAACTGAATTATTAAATTATTAAAGCATATTTTCCGTGTGTTGTCACTTTCCTGACATAGCAGGTTGCCGATATAAATACAGGCCAAAATATACAATGAAAATGGAAAGGTAGTTTGTGGTTATGTTGTATTATGGTATAAATTGATTCTTTAATTGCCTTATTAATGACACTATCAGTTAAATTTTAAGACTGCAATTTTGTATTTTTTCCATCCAGGGAGATCTTATTTATGTGAACTATGCACGCACTGAAGACTTTTTCAAGCTAAAACGGGACATGAAAATCAACTGCACTGGAAAGATTGTTATTGCTAGATATGGGAAAATCTTCAGAGGAAATAAAGTAAGATTTCATCTTGGGGAACAGAGGAGAAAGGATATTTTATCTGAAATGTAGATGATGAATGGGAATGGTGGTTGTAGAAATGTCTCCAAAAATGTTACTTATGTTGGATGCTCTTATTGCAAAGTAAGTCTTGTTGTAACATACATAGAGATGTCTATACATAAGGGCAGTTTAAAAAGTTGAGCGCTTGACTGAGGTGCATTTAGGTTCATAGACTCTTTAGAATTGGAAGGGACCTTATATAGAGAGATTTTCATAGAAGGGCAGAAAAAGCCCTGCCTCTTGAATCGAAACATGATATTAACTACCTGTGTGACCTTGGATAAGTTACTTAACCTGCCTGGGCCTCAGTTTCCTCGTTTTCAAAATGAGGGTTGGGACTAGATAGCTTCTTGATCCCTTCCAGCTCTATATCTGTGATCTTATGGTCCTAGGAACCTCCCTGTCAATGGAAGAATGAATTTCCGCTATACCATCTCTGACTAAGGTAGTCACGATGCTTCTTGAATATCTCCAGTAACATTATGTGTTCATTGTCTTAGAGGCAACCTGTTATATTTTTAGACAGCTCAGATTTTAGGAAAGTACTTTAGAGGAACCTGATGGATCTTTCATCCCTCATTATGATGGATTACTTGGATTTTTGACTTTGACGCTGTTGTTTTTGACTGAACCTGATTTTACTGATATTGGGAACACTCTCTGAGGAAACCTCATCTATCCTTACAAACTGGCCCTTCTCTGCAAATGATGGTTTTAGAGAGTTGTCTGCACGCAGAGAGGTTTTAGCTTGTTTAGGATCACACAGTCAGTATGTGGGGCAGATGTGGGACTCAAATCCAGGTCTTTCTGACCCTGGTTCCCAGCTCCTTATCCACCAAACCTCTCTGCTTCTTGAGCTCTTTTTAGTTTTAATTCATTTAAACAAACATCTTAAAAGTACCTTCTCTGTGTAAGGCAATTTGCTAAATTCCAGAGAGAAAGAGATGGATAGGACTCAAGGTATATCCTGCAGGAATACATAGAGACTTAATGGTGAGAAGGACAAGTACACATAATAACCGTGTTAAGGGCTGCTGGGCAGAGCTCTGGGCCTGGAGTAAGGAAGACCTGAGTTCAAATCCAGCTTCAGACACTTACTACTTTTGTGATCATGGACAAGTCACTTGACTTCTGTCTGCCTCAGTTTCCTCATCTGTAAAGTGAGGATAATACTAGCACCTACTTCACAGCATGGAGGCTCAAATGAGATAATATTGGTAAAGTGCTTAACACAATTCCTGCCATATAGTTATATAAATGGTAGCTGTTATTATAATAATAAGAGGGAGAAATCTAATCAAAGTGCTTTAAGAAATTTAAAGACGATGTGATTCTGAAGATAAGGGTGGGGGGGATCAGGGAAGGCTTCATGGAGGAGGAGGTAGCATCCGAGTTGGGCCTAAAAGAAAGGGAGAAACTTCAATAAGCAATATGAACAAAGGCACCGAGAAGGGAAAGGAGAGGACCGGAATAGGAGTATAGTCTAGTTTGATTGGAATGCAGACTAAGTGAATGGGTGAAAGTAAATAAATGACTGAAGTAAATGAAAGAATAAATTAAACCTTAAGTGAGAGACAGATTGTAAAGGGTCTTGATGCCAGGGTGAGGAGTTCATACTTATACAAAGTGGGTAGGGGAATGGAGGTGGACTGAATGTTTTTTAACAGAAAGAAATAACATGATAATAGCAGAATATTAGGGAGATTATTCTGGTTTAGGATGATAGAATAATATTATTCATAGATGTTGAGTTTTGAAAGGAACCTTAGAAGTCTTGTACTCCAAACCTTTCATGTTTGGATGCAAAAATTGAGGTGTCCAGAGAAGTTGTTGTTTGTCCTTCCTTCTTGAAAAGCACCATGACATCAGGGAGGTGATGCCATGACATGCCATTGAATTGTATTTAAGTGAGGGAGGGCTGTGCAAAGTCACCAGCCTCACTTTCTCCTTCTGAGCCATCTGGGTCTCTTGTGGATGTGGTCGAGGGGTGCTAGGAACCCTGAAATGCAAGGGTACAGCATGGAGTTCTGCCTCAAAAGAATTTGACCACTCATGTCTTCTTTCAGTCCAAGTAGTGAGTTTATTAAGACATTGGTTGGGTGGGCAAGATTCCTAGTGAGTCTGTGGTATTTGTGATGCCAGTACAAGTGGACTAGATTCTAAGAATCTGTGCGATTTAATGGGGGTAAGATTGATATTTTATACAGAAAGAGTGTGGGAAGATCTGGATGGATTAAGGAGTGGAAAGTAGCCTGGGGTGGGCCAGTGGGCTAGATGAAGACAGTGAAGGACACAATGAAAGGGCAGTTGAAATGATTATACTGGGATGGGGTGGATGCCTCAGGCTAATGCCAGGGATCTGGGCTGCTGAAATTTGTGGGAAAGTTCAAGGACTCTTTTTTAGGGGTACCATTGCTCCATCAGCCTCAAAACGTCCAGTGGCCAGATATAGATCAAGACAGCTGGAGCTGGCCCAGGTTGCAATGGGCCACCTTGGCCTTTTCAAGCTAAAGTTTTTAACAGGCCTCAATGTGACTGAGGCAACGCCCATTCATGATTAAGGCTCCATAAGAAATGAGGCAGAGAATGGCCTGTTTTGCTATTTACATTCATTCTGAGCTAATCAGAGCCCTAACAAAGATCAAATAGGGCTTGGCTTGGGACCTGTTGTTGGCCAATCAGTGAGAAAAGTTAAGTACTTTGCCCAAGCTCATAGAAGTAAAAACAATTGGAATCCTGAATGTGTGAGTGGTATTTTAAGGTTTACAAAGTGCTTTGCCCACCTCATATTTAAACCTCCAAACCACTCTGTCAGGCAGGTAATATAGAAATAAGACCCATTTTACAGATGAGGAAACTGAAGCTTAGGTAGCAAGTAGCAGAGCTGGGATTAGACTCATATGTTTTAATACCAAATTCTGTGCTTTTTTCTACTGTGCTACAATGCCACCTTATGGTGGATGGATTGGAGAAGGGATAGACTGAAAGTAAGAAAAGCAGTTAGAAGCCAATACAATTTGATTCAATAAGCATTTATTAAGCATCCATGGTGTGCCAGGCACATAGGTGAGAAAAGAGGCCAGGCCCTGAGCCAGTCTGATAACAATGGGCAGTCCGATAGCAATGGGCATGAAAAAGGGGGGATACAGATTCATCTGTGAGAGACACCGTGCTGGTAGAAGCAGCTGCACTTGATAACTCGGTATTAGGGAAGCAGGAGAGTCAAAGTTGGCTACTGTAACCAAGTGTTGCCATGTTGACTTTTTCTGTTTTACTTTGGCTTTGCAGGTTAAGAACGCCATGTTGGCCGGAGCCATAGGGATTATCTTGTACTCAGATCCAGCTGATTACCTTGCTCCTGGGGTACAGCCCTATCCCAATGGATGGAACCTTCCTGGAGATGTCGCCCAGAGAGGGAATGTATTAAACCTGAATGGAGCAGGTGATCCTCTCACTCCAGGTTACCCAGCGAAAGGTGAGCAATACGTCTGTTACAAATTTTGTACCTTTCCAAAGTATTACAGGCCTTGCTGATTTAATGGCAACATAAACATTTGGGAGTGAAGATTAAGATAACATCCTATAGGGGCAGCTAGGTGGCGCCGTGGATAGAGCACCGGCCGTGAAGTCAGGAGGACCTGAGTTCAAATCCTGCCTCAGATCAAACACTTGACATGTACTAGCTGTTTGACCTTGGGCAAGTCACTTAACCCCGATTGCTTCACTTAAAAAAAAATAACATCCTGTTTAGTGATAACATCCTAGATTCATAAAATTGTTTGTGATTGAGAGATCATCTATTCTAAACCCTTCATGTTATAGGTGGAGAAAGTTAGGTATCCAGAGAAGTTAAAAACTTAAATGACTTTTACTAAATACTTAAAATACTTTTTCATGTATCATATCAATGTTAATATGAATAATATAATTATAGGAAACTGCTTGCTTTGATAGCTCTGGTAATGTTGTATTTAGTGCCTGAGATTCATAATCATCTATTGTTCAGAGTGTAGAGAATACAGTATTAGTAAACCAACCCTTGTCTCCCCAGATCTGCAAAATGCCTGCCAGAATAACAGACCTTAGAATGGTGGGTTTCAGGACCTGTTAATTTTCTTTGTCTTTGTCCTTTCTGACCTTCTGTTATGATACAGTACAGTACAATATAAAACAAAACATTAAGCACTTACTATGTGGCAGGCATTGTGCTAAGTGCTGGGAATACATATTAGGAAAAAAAAAACAGTCCCTGCCCTCAATGAGCTTACGGTCTAATGGGGAAGACAGTACACATAAGGAAGCTGAAAAGTGTGTGGGGGAAGATGCATAGTTCAGGTTCTTGATGATGGTGAAGTTGAATCCAAGGACTGTGGCTAGTGGGAAAGGAGGATTGGCTGGACTTTTGAGCCCTCTTTTTTTTTTTTTTTTTGGTGAGGCAATCAGGGTTAAGTGACTTACCCAGGGTCACACAGATAGTTAAGTGTTAAGTATCTGAGGCTGGATTTGAACTCAGGTCCTCCTGATTCCAAGGCCAGAGCTCTGTTCACTGCATCACCTGGCTGCCCCTTTTGAGCCCTCTTTAAATGAGACCTTTGGGAGGAGTATTTTGCTCCACCCTCCAGTCAGAGGGAGAGGCTACTGAAGATACTGGTGAGGTACAGTATTTGACACTGTTGACCACATCATACTCTTGGATCCTATACTTAATTATCATAGGAAGATTCTGAAGATCACCTGGCAAGATAAGGTACCAGACGCTAAGGTGTTCTCTCACTGAACTGCCAAGCATTCAAACTCTACTGCAGAGAGTGCAGTTCTGACGGGCCTGAATGCCTAACATAAATTGACCTAAAAGACTATTTTATGGAGAACTTGCACAAGGCAAACACTCACATGGAGATCAGATACAAGGACACTCTCAAGGTCAATCTGAAGAACTTTGGTATAGATTGTGAGACATGGGAGGTGCTAGCACAGGACTGCCCAGCATGGCAAGTCCACACAGAATTGCAGTAGCACAGAGGAAATGTGAGGTGTGCAGATCTAGAGACCTCTCCTACCCAAATGTTCAAATGGGCAGTTCGTGCCTGAGCTGTGGGAGAGCCTTCCCAGCTCCTGTTGGACTGATCGGGCATAGTTGAGCACACTGTACCTTGACCCAACATCCTGATGCCATTTGTCCTCTTCAAGTACAAAGGACAAACCACAGCTCTTGCATGCACTCTTTTTCCTGGGTTTTCATGAAATTTCTGTCTCCTCATTCTTCCTGGAATCAGGAAGACCTCAGTTCAAATCAAGTGTCAGACACTTACTAACTGTGTGACCCTTGGTAAGTCACTTAGCACAGTGCCTGACACATAGTAGGTGTTGAATAAATGCTTACTTCCTTCCCCTCCCTCAAGTGCCATCATATATCTACATGAGGCTTATTCCCTCTGTTGTTAGTGGTCTCTTCTCCACTCTTAAAATTGTTGTTTAGTTGTTCCAGTTGCGTCTGACTTTTCGTGATTCCATTTGGGGTTTTCTTGTCAAAGATACTGGGGTGGTTTGCCATTTCCTTGTCTAGCTCATTTTACAGATGAGAAAACTGAGGCAAACTGGGTTAAGTGACTTGTCCAAGGTCACACGGCTTGTAAGTATCAGAGGACAGATTTGAACTCAAGAAGATGTCTTCCTGACTCTAGGCGTGGTGCTGTATCCACTGTGCCACCTAGCTGCCCCACCCTAGAAATTACTTTCTAGTTATTTTGTATATTATTTTCTATTTACTTACATTTTTTGTGTTATTTCCCCGGAATAGAAGAGCCTGGAATGCTGTGGTCCATGGGGTCACAGAGTCAGACACAACTGAACAACTGAACAAAAATAATTTCACCTGGGAAAATGTAAACTCCTGGAGAACAGTGTCTGTTTTGTTTTTCTTTTTATTCCCATTGTAGATCAATGCCTGGCCCAGAGTAACAGACACTTAATAAATGTTGAGTTTGGATGAATTGTCATTTACAAATCTTTTTTTTTACTTCAATCAAATATTACATTTCTATTTGAAAGAGATACCAAAGTGTTTTAAAACTTTACAAAGATTTTTAGTTATCTAGAGGGAAAATTTTTATTTGAACAAGATCTTTATAAATAGTTCTTTTCATGTTACATTTTGCCTTTTCTCCTCATTCTTTCTGGTTTATTTTGGCCAAGTTCTATTTTCCCATCATTTGTTTCATGGCAGATGTTCCAAGCAGAAATTCAGAACTTCCCTAGGGAGTTAAATGATATAAATATCAAAAGAAAATTATAAAGAGTAAATAAATAAGTTGAATTTAAGCATATTTTCAATAAAATGTGAAAAAAGTTACAACTTTTTTATTGCAGAAACTATGGATAGTATATAAGATGTAATGATGACAGTATGTAGCAATGTAATAGGTGGGATTTCGTTTCATTGGTTTAGGGAACTCCTGGATGAAGAAGCTTCCTCTTCCAATGTAGGGCAGATAGATGTGCCTGGAATACTAAGCAGCTAAGTGCCTTGTCCAGAGTCACAGAACCAATTTGTGTCAGAGGAGGCCTTGAACCTAGATCTTTCCTGGTTCCAAGGCCATGTCTCTATCCATTATGCCATACTGCCTGCCTCTCAGAATACAATAATGTGTGAATAATGTCTACGAAAAATGCAAATGAACCTTACAAATTTACTTTTTCTCATATCCAAAGACTCTGGTGGTGGGGATGGTGAAGAATAAAAATCAGTTATCTCTACAATCTGTTTTACTTTTAATTTGTGATGATCAAAATTTTAATTTTGTGAAATAGAAAATGGCATATTACTTAGAAAATGCACTTGGTTTTTCAGAATACACCTTCAGGTATGCAGAGAATGAAGGAGTGGGAATCCCCCAAATACCAGTACATCCCATTGGATATCATGATGCAGAGATATTATTACGGTAAAGAATTCTGCTTGGATGCAAGATTAAGATATCTTGCTCCAAAAGACTATTTCTTAATCTAAAAACTAATGTATATATTTTCTATTAAAAATAAAAAAATAATTTTATAATTCAAGACTTTCTTTTAAAAATAGGAAATAAAAAAGGGGAGACATTTGGACAGTAGTTTTTTCCTTTATAAAAGCATAAGCTGTATGGCATAGTGAATAGAGAGCTGGCCTTGAAGCCAAGAAAAGCTGGTTTCAAAGTGCAGCCTTTGACACTTATTGGTTCTCAGTGCTCTAGATTGGTGGTGCTAAGCTCAACAACAAAAAACAAAGAAAGAAAGAAAAAAACATATCTCTAGGTTTCTGATTGTTTAACAAATTAACGTTATCTATGTTGTGTTGCATTTTTATTTATTTTGTTAAACATTTCCCAATTACATTTTAATCTGGTTTGGCATATTTGACATTACTCTGCTTTAGGCAGTTCTTTAAGATTATAAACTGTAGACAAGTTGACTTACATTGGTAGAGGGAATTTACTTACCTGGGAGTTCCTTGTACCAATGAAATCACAGGTCTAGCTTCATTGTATCTTTCTTCCTTCCTTCCTTCCTTCCTTCCTTCCTTCCTTTCTTTCTTCTTTTCTTCCTTTCTTTCTTCTTTCCTTTCTTCCTTTCCTCCTACCTTCCTTCCTTCCTTTTTTTCCTGGAGTAAAAGAATACATCCAACTTAGTTGCTTAATAAAATGAAAGTTTGTTGTATTTTCTAAAAGGTCACATGAATAATACTAACCACTAAAGATTAAAATATCAAAAACCATTTTAAAAGCAGTTATGCTATCCTTTATATATTTGAACTCCAATAATCAGTTCTCATCTCTTTGTTTCTATCTTTATATATATTCTATTGGAGTTCAATTTTCATGGTTCCACCTGTCACCTGAAATCAGTGTCTCTGGTTCTAACTCTTCTCCTGATATTCTTTTCTGCATTTGGGACTGTATTCATGATGGACAATTCTATTTTCTTTTCTTAATATTATCCCAAAGTTAACCTATGTAAAACTAATCCCAGAGTCTCTCAACATTGTTTTCCTCTCTTGACTTACTTAGTTCTGTTAATAGTAAAACTGTAACAATAGTCAGTTGTGTTTGATTCCTCCCTCTTGTACATCCTCCACATCCAATCCATTAACTCATTAATTTTGAGTCTTCCTTTACAGTATCTCTTACATCCATTTTTTTCTTGTCATTCTCATTGCCACCACTTAAGCTTGGGCCCTTACTTCGTGGCCTACTGCTTGTTTCAGTACCTCATTAGCACTTCTACCATTTAGTAATCTCTTTTCCTTTGAGGTTCTTAACTGTGATAAATCACTCTATTCAAGTTCCAGGGGGCTGTTATCTACCAGCCCTGAGATCATTCTGTCTATCATTCTTCCTCCTTTATCAAGATTTCAGTACCTAGTTCATAATCTTCCTCTTGATCCCATTCACTGCTCTTATAATTGAAGATACCAGCATAGATATTAATATCCCATAAATCTTCTTGCTTTCCAATTCTTTAAGCTCCTCAACTTCTATGACTTGTACCTTCACTCCAACTCAGATAGCCATACCTTTGATCCTCATCATCATTCACAATTTGGTCTACCTCCCCACTAAAAAACTCTCAAATTTCTCTATCTGACCATGACGTCCTATTGTATGATCATAAATTTCAAATTGGATGGAACCTTCAAGGTTATCAAGTCCAATCTTCTCATTTTACAGATGAGAACATATTCCCTCTATTAGTACTGATTGCTGTTGGACATTAGCTATTGAACTTGAGCATGGTGAAAGTTTATGAACTTTTGTTAGGATGGGTATAGCCAATGACCTTTGAAAATCAAAAGAATCTAGCATTCTGTAAACATCAGGTACAAGGTGAACCTGTAATTTAAATTCCTTGATATTTTATGTTTTCCCGCTTCAGGTCAAACAGTCTATTATAATGGAAAGAGCTCTTGCTTGAGAATGAAGAAAATTGGGCTCAAGTTCCCAATGCAAGCAAAAACTTGCAGGGTTACCTTGGACAGGTTATTTTAACTTCCTGCATCTCAGTTTCTTATCTGTAAAAGTGAGATTTAACTATAAATTCTATCTGAGGACCTTTCCAGGTCTAATTCTGTGATTCTTTATTGATGCATTTGCAAAGACTCAAAACCTGTTTCTTTAAGGAATTTCTTTTTATTTCAGGATTAAATTTTCTATCTCCCTTCAAGTTTTTTTATTAGATTCATATAATAATCAAAGTACTCTGCAGACCTTAGAGATACAAGGGTGAAACCAAACACACCACACATCTCATACGCTTAGGGTACTGAATGGTGAAAAGACACAGGTAATGGAGAGACTTGTCTTTGTGGGCTTTTGCAGGGACATTGTGTTCTATATCTTGAAGTGATGAAGTAAACTAGTTATAAGTGATTTCTATTTGTCACCTTCCCACTTTGGACACAGGAAGGGAAGGAGAAATATCAAGTTGGCTAATAACATAGTGAAGTACTAAAACCTTTTTATGCAGGAAACATCCTTATTATATGAGAACGAGCTTAGGATTGTCAAATGGACCAATGAACTTGATCCAAAGAGGCCTGAGCAAAACAGATGAGTAATTAATAAAACCAACAGGTTTGGATTTTTCCTGGGTGAGGATGCTGTTCTTATCTGGGAACTCCAAGTAAAATAATCTAGAGGTAATTGCAATGGGGAAAACCAAGTGCTATGAGAACTTTGATGAGGGAAGAGTATTCAAGGAGGCTTCATGGAAGTAATAGCCATGTACTTTCCCTGAAAGAGGGGAAAGATTTCAAACACAGAACTTGGATGGGGAGGGGCTGTGTGCATTCCAGTTATGGGGTGCAGTGTGAACAAGAGAAAATGGTACTATGGAAAGAGCTCAGATTAAACCTGGATTGAAATCCTGCCTCTGAAACTTACTACCTGTGTGATCTTGAGTGAGTCTCTTAACTTTTTTGGTTTCTTCATCTATATAATTATTGGATTGGGTTGAATAACCTTTGAGATCCTTTCCTGCTTTATAATGTTGTTGATGATGTTGGTTATTATGTTTGGAAGAACAGGGTGGGGCAAGAAGAAGGGAAAATGGGTGGGTCAGTTTCTTTTAAAGGGTGAAATAAAATGTGGGATAAAGCCAGAAAGATATGTTAGAGCCTTTAAGACATAGAGTTCCTTAAAGGTCAATGAAAAGTTTGTATTTCAGTTATATAAAATGGTGATAAAATGAAAGATTTTGAGGAGAAGAGTGACATATGAGGGGGGAAGGTTAGTTTATTCATTGGGAAAATTATTTAGGCAGTGGCATAAAGGGTAGAGTGGGAGAGACCAAGGCTCTATGCTGGGCCCACTTCTCTTTCTTCTTTGGTCATCTTGTTCTCTTCAGTGGCTTCACTGACAATGTCTCTTGCTTTCATCTCCTTTCCACTCACATGGCCATCAACCTACTGTAGTTTAGGCCCTTGTCACTTCTTGCTTGACTATATCAGTAACCTCCTAATTCATGTCTAAACTTTCCCATATGTCCTTTCTCTAAATCATCCTCTGCATGGCTGCTCAAATAGCATTCCTTAGGGACAGATTGCTACCCTGCTCAAAATTCTTCAGTGAATACCTGTTACCTTTAGGACAAGAACTCTTCAGCATGGCAGTTATGGCCCTCCTCAAATTTACTCTAACATACCTTTCCAACCTTATTTCATATTACTTCCTTTCACATTATTTTCCATTATTGGTTCTCTCCTGAATTTGACATTCTATCTCCTGACCCTTTGCAATTTTATAAGCTGTTTTCCATGCCTGGAATTCTTCGAATCTTTATCTTTTTCAAGGAATGCAACTCATGTACACTCTTTACCATAAAAGCCCTCCTGATTCCTCCAGGTTCTAATGTCTTCTACTTCCTCAGATTACTTCATACTTACCTCATATGTTTGTTGCATCATGTTCTATTACAGTACACTGCATACAGTGCAAACTCCTTGAAGGGAAGGCATTGTTACATTTTTTTCTTTGTTTTTCCAGTGTCTTGCAGAGTACCCTCACGCATAGTAGACACTGAATGAATAGAGATGTGTGAGTTGAGGGGGCTATTACAAATAATCCAAGTAAGAAATGTTGAGGGCTTAAAACTTTAGTGGCTAGAGAGAGAAGAAAAAAATAAGATTTAAGAAATAGTTGATATATAACTTAGAAGAATAAAAGGATGCAGAAGTTAGCCACAAGGATGAGTTAAACATGACCTTGAAGTTTTTCTCATGGGTTACAATTAAGACTCTTTTCCTTTAGCTCCTTTACTTACTCAATAAGTAGCTGCCCAGCATCTGCTATATACTTAATGGTATCTGATCTGTGTCCAAAGTATTTTGGATTTAATGAGTCTCTGTGTTAATCACCCAGGAAAAGAATGGGTGGTGGTGGGGTATAGGTGGGGAGGAATGGTACAGAAGGGAGAAAAATGGAGAACTACTCTTCTGGTTTCCTAATCTATAAAATTGTGATCATAGTATTCAGTGTTCCACAGTGGTATTTGGAGGGTCAAATGATATAATATATGTAAATTATTTTGAAAACCTTAAGTCCATATTTCAATGTGAGGAATTATTATTTTTTTATCACTATCATCACTGTGTATTACTCCATCTGAGGAATGGTAATTGCTCAACTTTTAATATGTTTTTTTTTTTGTTCCTGTCTTAATAGCAATATGGGAGGAATTGCACCACCAGATGACAGCTGGAAAGGAAATCTTAATGTGCTTTATAATATTGGGCCTGGCTTTATGGGGAACTATTCCACCAGGTAGGTTTCAATGTAGTTTCCTCACCCTTAAAATAGGGATAATATATTCATCCCTACTCCTAATGCCTACTCCTCAAAGCTGCTGTTATTATTAAATTATCTCATATATGTGAAAATGGTTTCATTAAGTACTATATACATGTGAGGCACGATCCTTTATTTGAGTTACCGTCTTTGTTTCCAAAAGCACTCACTTCACTTTCTTAGTATTCTTTATTATACCAGTTCTTCAGCTTTTCTAGACTGTTGACTCCTACAGAATTAATAAACTCTGGATTGGGCCTGGTGCCAGGGCATAAGGACTGAATGAAGTTATGATAGCAAGAGGCCTAGTGTTCTGAGGCTGTCTCTCATCCTGGCCAGAGTCTTAGTGGGCAGAGACCTGGTGTCTGGGTACTCAACAGCTACAGAGGGCTGAAGTGTTGCTTTTCTCATGTGATGTGTTGAAGCAGCATGAAGTAAGTTGGTTCTCACATGTGCCAATAGTTTTGGGCTTCCACATCTAGTCCATTCAGGCTGAATGGTAATTGAGGGCTGGAGTATTGTGACTCAATACAGAGTAGCTGCCAACTCTTGGGTAGTTTTTTTTTCCAGTGATGGCGCAAGGGGGCCTCAAACTCAGAGTTCCTAAATAGGGTAGCTCCACTCTAGAGCCCATATCTGTGATAATGGTGTGTTGGTTGTAGTGGTATTGATTTTGCTCATTTGGTTTAATGAAGAAGGGTCAAAGTAGCATTTTAGGAGGTTGAGTCTAATATCAGTAGGCTATGGATTTCCATGTCTGCCAAATGATAAGGTTAGACTAGGTTTTTAAAAATCTCTTCTAGCTCTGAAATTCTGTGAATTGGAGGGGGATATATTACAGTAATACAAATTGATGAGGTCTGACTAGATTTGTAACAGTAGATGTCAGGGGGGAAAAATATGAAAAATTGAAAGGATGATAAGATTGGCAGGACTAGATTTGGACAGTGAAGGAAAAAAGCAAAAGATAACACTGAAGTTTTGAATCTAAGTAGCCAAGGAGTATGATGGAGCCATTGATTAAGAAAGCAAGTTGAAAGAAAGAGCTGGTTTGAAAATAAACAGGAAGAGTTCAGGTTCTGAACACATTGAATTTGAAGTGATAGTAGCACATCCTATATTCTGGCAAGCCAATAGAAATTTGGTGCTGGACCACAGATGAGATGGAAAGGTGGGCAACATGGATGAACATCTTAAGAGTCTCCCAGCAATAACTTCATACGAAAACCAAGCAAAAATGGAATAGAAGATTTTCTTAGATGCCTCCTGCTTAATTTCTCTTAGGTATACAAGGCTTTCTTTTGAGATCTGAGAAGGTGCCATGAACCTATCTACTTATTTTGATACTTTGGTGGACCTGTTCTTTTCCAGTATGTTCATGGCAACATAGGTACTCCCTTCATTGATACAGATCACAACCCATTTATTCCTTCTAGCCCTAGTCCTCATACTTGTCCATATTCTTCTTCACATCCTGAAGTACTTTACAATATCATTGGGTCCTTTATATATTGTGAGTATTTCAGAGGCACTTGGGCTATCTTTCTGTTACTTCTTACTCCTGGTGAGACATTGTAAGTTCCTTGAGGGCAGATATTACTTAGTTTTTATCTTTGTATCCACAGTGCCTGGCAGATAGTAGGCCCTTAAGCAAAGATGGTTGATTAATTGATTTGTTGCCACATAACTGACCCCTTCCTCCTTTTCCAGTCCTAGAATTTGTTACACCACTTCTTGCATGTAGGTTTAAGATTTATGTGAGCTGGGTTTTCTGAATGTATAGATGGAGCTCCTGGGTGTCTCAGATAGATGTTATCTAAGATCCGGTCTGGCCCACACCATTTCCAAGGAGACTTCCTTTCTTCCATTGTGAAGAGTAGAAGGACTATTCAGATGCCACCCTAGTATCCTAGATGCAGGAGGAGTAGGCAGGATCAAAGAAGGCAGGAGGTAGGGTGATCTCTCCTACCTCCTAGAGGGCTATCAGTCACAAGCATTTGTTAATCATTTACTATGTGCCTGGCTAAGCACTGGAAATACAAATACAAGTAGAAAGAATAAATAGTCCTCAAGGAGCTTACCTTCTGATGGGTGAAAACTATACATGAAAGGGAGCTGGAAAAAGGGGTAGGAAATGGAGATAAAAGTACCTGGTATAGAGGAAGTCTGGGATGCATCAATGTGTGAATTCCAGGGTTGGGGAGAGCATCAAGATGAAAAGGTGGGTCATGGCAGAAGAAGTCCAGAGTCCAGAGGAATGAGACATGGCTGGCCCAGACACTTTTCTTAAGTGAAGGTTCTAGGTGGATCTATCCAATCAGAGGGAGAAGTGGATATTAGGCTAGAATTATATTTAGCTGCAGCCTTTCAAATATCTTGAGTCTAGGTGCATGATTTGGTGTTCAGAAAGGAAAGAACTTCCCTAGTTTTACTCTTAAGGGGAAAGGTAGCCTTTAGCTTATACTCACCAACTTTCCCACCAAATACTAGATATATAAATATATATATATATACACATGTAAACATATAATATATAAATACATGTATACACACATATACACATGCATATACACATGTTTGTGTGTATACATATACATACATGTGCTTGTATGTATATTATATATCATGTATACATGTGCATGTGTGTGTACACACATACATATAGACACATACACATATACATATGCATGCATATATGTGTGTTTGCACACACACACACATGCACACAAAAACACACACACACACACACACACACACACACAGGAAGTATAGAACTGCCCCAAACTTGGGCAGAAGCAGGGTTACATTGATTTGCATTGGAAATATGCTGCAGCTACTTGCATACACGATGTTTTTTTACATTGCCCTTTGGTTCACCCACAACTTTGATTCCTTGGAAATTTTAGTGTTCCAAGATTTATAACAAAAAAAGCATCGCAGTGAGAGTATAGTGCAGTGGTGTCAAACTCAGAAAGAAACGGGGCCACTAAGCCATACATAAGAATCTTTGAGGGCTGTATATTGACTTAGAAAACCACATATTGAAATTATCTATATTCTGTTGTTATTCATTTTGTTAAATATTGCCCAATTACATTTTAATCTGTTTTGAGCAGCATTAAGGGGTGTTGTGGGCTATGCATTTGACACTTTTGGTGAAGTAGTTAAAGTTCGTAAGACAAGGGTTCAAAGTGCACTTCTGACATATACTGTCTATATGACGCTGGGCAAATCACTTAAATCAGTGCCCAGGTAACTTTTTAAGACTATAAGTAACAAAGAGTTTCACCTTGCATCAGCATAAGAAATACCTCACCTGGAAGCTTCCTCTATGGATGAAATCACAAGTCTGTTTTTTGTTTTGCTTTGTTCTTAAAAAAATTGCCAAAAGAATATTTTTCACAGACAAATGAGTCAAGACAAATGAGTGCTAAGACTCACAACATGACTTAAGGTTGCAATTGTTAAGAGTGCTACATATTTCCAAAATAATCCAGTTTGCTATTTACCTCTTGTTAAATTCTGGGTCTAAATCCTTATCCATTTTCAGGGCCTAACTCATTGTCACTAACTCAATGGATTTACAGATGAAATTAGTGACAATTTCATTGTCACTAAGTCAGTGGATACTATTTACAAAGAGTTTAGCACTATGCCCACCTGTAGCAGGCACTGTATAAATGCTTATTCTTCCCTTCTCCTACCTTCAGGTCTTAATCTGGAAAATACGCACTTTTCATCCATTTAATTTCTTTTTTTTATTATTTTGCCTGATTTAAGATAGGATTTTTCTTTCTTTGATCCTTTGTTTCTTTTCTTTTATCTTCACCCCACTGAACAATAAACCTTGATATTCTTGTTTTTCTTACTAATCATAGCTCTGCTGTTTTTTTTTTCAAATGTAGCATACTTTTCTGTGCTTTCTGGAACTGTGCTAAGCACTGGGATTCTTATGGAGAATTAATGAAAACATTTTAATCTACTCTATCTCCTTATTTGGATTATTTAATCTCTGTGTATTTGATGCCTTGATAAATGGAACTATCTGCTGACTATTTTCTTATGAAGAAAGCTGCTAACTAAATATTACATATTGATTCAATCTGCACTCAGTACACCCGGTGTCCTTTTTAGGCAAAAATCTCAAAGCAACACTAAAGAAGATTCTGTTTTTAACAGCTTTTTAGCTCTCAGGAAATCACTGGAATTGAGAAACTGCTAGGGTTTTGCCTGGAGTGAATAAAGACTTATTTTGTTCTCCAGTGGAAAAGAGGTTCAAACATTCTCCCCATCCAATCCCTGTGTTCATAAAAACTGAGCTGTTGGTTTGGTTTGGTTTTTCCCTTTGGCTAACCTAAGTAGATTGCTTTGTTCTTCTAATGTCTTTAATAGCGGTTTGTGAATGAATACTTAAAACATTGTCCGGGAACCGTGGTGACTGCCTTCAGTGTTTTCACTCTCTGGCTGTCTTGTATCATTAAAGCTGGAACCTTCAAAATTCCTATAGAACAAAAATAATTTATTGCAATGGTTATATAATACTCAGACACTTGAGTAAAATCCTAAGTAATTATTTCCACTAATTATCCCAGGGACTAAATATTGAGGTGGGCGAACGTAGTTGTATTTATTTAAATTTCTATAAAAATCAAGAGTGCTTTCTTGGTCTTAAGTTATTTCACAAGTGTTCAATTTCTCCATATTCAATTATGTGCAACATTAAAGAAAGATTTTTAGTAAACTAGCTCCTTTTCATCTCTCTCATTTGTGTATAGTGTCCATCACTTTTCATGATGAAGAGATCTGGATGAAATTAATGGCTAACTATTTGAAAAGATTACTTATTTTCTACTGAGGCAGAATCGTGTAGCCTATAGAGTGCTGTCCTTTGAATCAGAAGACTTGGGTTTGGGTCCTGGTCTTGCCATTTAATAAATAGGTGATCTAAGGCAACTGATATTGTCTCTGTAAGCTCAAGTTTTTTCATCTGTAAAATGGAAATAATTATATTTGTACAAGCAGCTATTACTACTACTACAACTATGACAACTCAAGGATTTTTCTTCTTAATCCCATTCCTGTTTGGAAAGAATTATGATGTGGTCCTGTTCTTATAAATTGCTTTGTAAATGTAATTTTGTGCATTTTTGTATGCACATATTTATGATAAGAAACACTTTCATATTTATATTCATACTTATATAAGAAATAAGCACATACAAATTACAAATATATGTGTGTATATATGACCAGATTATATATGAATATACATGTGTTTGTGTGTGTGTATATATATATATATGCATATTTGTATATTTGTATATGTATGTATAGGTTGTGTATACATACATGTGTATATATATACATATATATATATGTAACTAGATTATAAATTCATAGAGGGTAGTGACTGCCATTTCTCCTTTGTACACCCATAAAATCAAACAGTTATTACTCGTCTTAATTTAGGTATCTAATAAATGTTGTTCTTGCTTCAAGAATCCATGATTTCATTGATGTGGACATTCCTTCCAAAAGTGCAGTTCACCATCTGTCCATGCTTTAATAGATAGATGATCATCAGGAGTTGCTATGGCCAGTTCTCTGGTGTTGATTCTCTCCAAACTTAGATTGCTTCTAGAATAAATGACATAGAATCTATCTCCAGGTTATCTTTGAAGCCTTCTCAGCTTTATCAGGGATGCCAGACTTTATGGTCTGCTGCAATAGCCTTCTAGAAAACAATTTCACTTCCATTCCAAAGTGAGGCATAGGATTAGGACTGTAGTAGAAGTCTATGGGGGGTCAAAAGGGAAAACCAAGACTAGGTGTGCTAGCTAGTTATAGCTCCCAAGCCTGTATCACATAGACAAGTTTCTTTATTCTTCTGAACCACAGGCTTTTCGTACTTCATATACATTTTGTTGTTGACTTGTTTTTCAGTCATGTCTGATACTTTGTGACCCCATTTGAGGTTTTCTTGGCAGAGATACTGGAGAGGTTTGCCATTTCCTTTTCCAGCTCATTTTATAGATGAGGAACTGAGGCAAAAATAGGATTAAATGAACAAATCCTTTTATTAAGGGGCACCTTTATCCATCAGGGAAGGGCAACCTGTGGTCATGAGGCCACATGTGGCCCTCTAAGTCCCCAAGTGTGGCCCTCTGACTCAATCCAAACTTCACAGAACAAATCCCCTTAATAAAAGGATTTGTTCTATAAAACTTGGACTCGTTCAAAAGGCTGCACCCAAGGACCTAGAGGGCCACATGTGGCCTTAAGGCCACGGGTTCCCCACCCATGGACTAGAATCTAGTCTGGAAAGCATGTGTTTTAATATGGCCACCATTCTTTATCTATGACCTTGCATATGATCAGTTTTTATGGAAGTGCTGGATGATATATTACAGAATTGACATATGTTAGTAATAGGGATATTCTGTCCTGTTTATCCTTCTGTGAGGTTTGTGTAAATCCAAGAAGTAACCATTGAGAGACATGTACCCAATAATTATTTTCTTACTATCTAAATCTTGTAATTTAATTTCCATTTCCTTTGAGGAATAGGAGGGGGTGTATGGAAGAGGAGAGAGAGGAAAAGAGGGAGAGAAAGGAAGGAGAGACAAATAGAGACAGATAGACAGAAAGAGTATATATGTTAGAATTAAGAGTTTCAAAGGTAGTATGGCTCATAATGGATAGAGAGTTGGCCTCAAACACAGGAAGACTAGAGTTCAGGTTCTGCCTCTGCCTCACCCTGGTTGTCTGACCTTGTTCAAGTCTTTGAATCTCTCAATGCTCTGGCAACTCTCTAAGACTAATTGCAGAGAAGACACTGACTGACCTGTGTTGGTACAGGAATTTTCTTCACTTTGGAATTTTCTATATCAGTGAAACCACAGGGTTAATCTCTAGTCTTAATCTTATTGTATGCCTTTAACATAACCTCTTTCTGTCTTGTCTTACTTGGCTTTATCAATTTTGTCTGAAATAATTGCCATTTATATTTTTTAAAAATTTGATTAAAGTATAAAAGCTTTTATTCCAGACCTAGCCTTTAATCCTGTGTGAATCGTTATATCTTAAGTTTGTTTCTTGTATAAAATAAATCATTGAATATTGTTTTCTAACCCTCCATTTGTGGGTGAATTAATACAATTTATATAAATTCATAATTTTTAATATTTAAATATTCATAATTTAAATTTGTTTTTCTGTTAAATCATATAATTTTATTAATTTGAAAAAAGGAAAAAAGAAATGATACATTATATGAAATTTATATTGCTTAGAACTTGAGGCATTGCCTTGTACCAGTTAAGCTAGCTAAGGTTCCAAAAGATGAGAAGATTTATTTTTAAACGGCTGTGCAAGACCAGGCATGCTAATTCACTGATGGAGCTATGTATTAGTTTTAGCTATTCTAGAAAATAATTTAGAAGCATGCAAGTTAAAATTGTTCATACCCTTTGATTCAGAAACTTCACTATAAAGTTATTCACTGCAAGAAGAAATCTGTACAAAAATGTTGTGATAGCATCTTTTATAATATCAAAAGGCTGGAAACAAAATATGTGCACAATGATTTAGGAGCAACTAAATAAATTTTATGGCATGAATATTGCTGTGGAATAAGCAAGTCAGTTATGAAAAGTTCAGAAAAATATGTGATGACCTCTATGAAGTGATATAGAGAAAGAAGAGCTAAAAGAACAATTAGTAGACCACTGTATATAAAGTCAACATGAAGTGGCAAGAAAACTGGCCAAATAGAGTAGTCAGTTAAAGTACCATATTTTCAAAGTTAAAGGACTTTTGACCTTCTTTTCTGATGTAGCTTCAGTGTGGGTGATGATACATCATTCTGGGTTTGTGAGCAGGGCTGCCACTCTCACGATTTGACCTTTGTATAGGTCCAATGGAGCTGACTGATAGGTGTGCCAAGTTTTTAATTTTTACTGTGAGCATTTACAACTTGAACATAGACCACTGAAGCTTGATTTACCCATTGATTGTCTAGACTTAAGAAAGTGATGGAGGGGCAGCTGGATGGCACAGTGGGATAGAGCTCTGGCCTTGGAGTTGGGAGGACCTGAGTTCAAATCAGGCATCAGACACTTGACACTTAATAGCTGTGTGACCCTGGGCAAGTCATTTAAACCTGATTGCCTCACCAAAAACGACAGCAACAAAAAAATAAGTGATGGAAAAGTGGTTAAGAATGCAGATTAATCTTAAAACTGTGTGATACTTATCTTTTCCCTCCCAGAGAGTCAGTTCCAGGGAGCAATTAAGCATTTACCATTATAACTCTGGCTGTATCAATCTTTCCATATAACTTATCTTGACCCCTTCCTTTGGACATGACTTTCTCTCTGGTCACTTCTGTGAGTATGTTGGGTTTTTTGTTTGTTTGTTTTTTGTTTGTTTGTTTGTTTGTTTTTCCCTTTAAGTCCATGGGAAATAGAAAACAATTGGAAGAAAAAATAGCCAATGCTCACCTTCTGTGCCAGTTCCAGATTGTCACAGCTTCCTCCACTCAAAGCTGCTTAGTTAATTATCTGGCAAGATCGAGGTTTAAGTTTTTGTGCCCTGGGGAATTGGAAAATTGAATCAGTAATTCTTTTGTCTATAGCTCTCAGCTCCAGCCAGTAAAATTGCTCTAGTGAATATATGTCACATTTATGACATCTATTTCACTCTTGTATTCATTCTCCCCAGCCATTGTCTTTTTTCTGCTTTATTTAGATGATTAAAAAACACCAGTAATACAATGGTTAACAAATTTTATCTTTAAAAACTTGAAATTTAAAAAAAACTAAAAAGAAATAGCAATAGGTTTAGGGAACAGACACTTGCTCTCTCAAGAAGGGAGAGATAGGGGGAGAGAAGGTTGGGGTGGGGAGGGGCTGATGTGTCAGCAGACTTGCGTCTGCTTCTCATGATGATTTCAGTAAAAGAGGTCCTCTTAGATATACTTTTGTGGTCCCAGGCACAGGACTAGGAAAACTACTCTGAGAACACTTTCTGCTTGTGCCACCAAGTGGTGCCCAAAGCTTGTTTTACCAGCCCAGATCTCCAAACGGTCCTCCTTGTGTGTGTCTGTTTTGGATCTCAGTACAAGAGTCCTTAGATCAAATGTTCTTAACCTGGGGTGTATGGATAGATGTTAGGGGATCCATGAACTAGGATAGGAAAAATAAATAGAATATTAGACATTTAGTTTTCTACATGTGGTTATAATACTGTTAGTCATAAAACCATAAAATACATTTTCTCTTCATTCTTGTTTGATTGACAGGAAAGTCAGAATGCATGTTCACAATACCAATGAACTAACAAGGATTTACAATGTAATTGGAACCATCAGAGGATCCGTGGAACCAGGTGTGTTATTAACTTTTTCTTCAGATTCAGTTTTTTCGGAGGTTTAAAGAACCAGGCAGGTAATATATTATCAGTAGTATGAAAAATTGTTAAACAGTAAAACGTACACAATTAAGATAATGTTTACTATCTGTGTTGTATTTTTCTAATGTGGAAGGAAGATAATTAGTAACTTAAATAATTAGATGGCTTAGCATATGCTTTTGTATTCAGAATTATCACTCACTTTTAAATATATGTATTTTCAGACAGATATGTTATTCTTGGAGGTCATCGGGACTCTTGGGTATTTGGTGCTATTGACCCAACCACTGGGGCAGCTGTTCTACAAGAGGTTGTTCGGAGTTTTGGAAAAGTGATGAGTGGAGGTAAACAAATGAAATTTGGTGGGGGGGATGTAGTGATATATTTCATTTTCTTTTATTTTTAGGCATGGTGCACTGGAAAAAGTGCTGGATTTTGTAGTCAGAGGACTTGGGTTCAAATCCTGGTTCTGCCACTCACTACCTATGGGATGTTGGGCAAGTCACTTAACTTCTCTGGGTCTCAATTTCTGCAGTAGTAAGATGAGGAGGTTGGACTCAGTGCCCTCTAAGGGTCTTTCCAGCTCAAAGTCTTTGATCCTGTGATCCTGTATTTAATTGTAAATTAACTGTGTAATTTCAGGCTGGAGACCAAAAAGAACTATTATTTTTGCTAGCTGGGATGCAGAAGAATTTGGACTGTTGGGTTCCACAGAATGGGCTGAGGTAAATAAAGAAGAGACCATTCTTGTCATTTCCTTTGGCAGCAATGAACAAATGTATGTATACCTAAAGAAACTTACAAATAGCAACTATTGACTAATAAGGTTTTTAATTTCAAGAGTTGCTGAAGAAATTATTTTCTGTACTCATATCTATTTATTTTGACAGCCTCTGACTAAAGTATTATGTAAAAAAATGGATTTATTTATTGTTCAAATAATTTAGATTCTATTCAAACTTGTGAAAAATGAGATAAATCATTAATTTCAGAAATAACAAAAAGCTATCAGGACTAGCTGAGCCACTTTGGACAAGTTAGTTTTTTGGTATTTATTCTATATCTTTTTTTCTTTTTTAATTTTTTTATTTATTCTATATCTTGAGTTACAATTGGAGTTCTAAGAAAAATATGACATGGTTTCTCAGATTGATAATTTTTTGACTGTAATATTAGACTAAAAGTTTAAGGTAGCATTTCAACTGTAGCTGCTCCCTACTTTTAAAAATAGATTTATACATGTATGTTTAAACTCTTTAAAACTGAAATACATTTTCCCATTGACTCATACTATAATAGGAAGAGAAATGCTTTGTTCTCACTTGTCATAGTTCTTTAGTTGGTGGTGTCAGCTAATGCTTTAGCTGTAAATTCCTTTGTCCTTAGATTCTACTATAGTTAGTGATTTGTGAATACCAAAAGTAACTATATGATCTTGATTCTTAAAGAAATCCTTTTGTAAAGTGAAGGGAACTTTTATAATACTATCGATTGTCCCTATTAGATATATATTTTCAAATTCTAGATATCTGTGTATTGAGTTTTCTTAAATCAGGTCATACCTGTATTGCCGTAGAGCTTTCTTTCTTTTTTTTAAAACCAAAATGTCAATTTACACCATTATACCCCCATTTAAAGTTATAACAATAATACCAAAAACAAATTTAAATCATGATCTGCTAATAGATTTAAAAAAACATATCTATATTTAGACTATGCTCCTTAATTCCTCCATTACCTCGAATAAGTCACAACCCTTCTGAGTCCCATTTTCCTCTTGAGTAAAATGAGGAGGTTGGATTAAAGATCCATTTCAGCTCTAAATCTCCTTCTATTTAAAGGAATGTTAACCATAATTGCTAATGGAGGTCTTGGCTTCTTCTTAACTTTTGGAGTACTGAACTTTAAATACACACACACACACACACACACACACACACACACAAACACACACATATGTATATGTATATATACATATATGAAATTATATAAAAATTATGTAAACAGGAAAAAGCAAAAAAAAAAACCCACAATTTTTAGGACCATTATGTGGAAGAGTGATTCTAGTTTATTTGTGTAGTTTCAATAGTCAAATCAAGGAATGGAAGATATTGAGAGGCAGATTTTGTTTAGTTTGATATAAGAAAAAAAATTTAGCAGTACTTTCTAAAAATAGAAAGGACTGTCTCATAAGAATTACAATCACTAGAGGTGACCCTCAGTTGCTCTTTTCTCCTGGGTATAAATGGTTCTTAATAATTCAATTCGCTTGAATTAAATTAAAAAAAACCAGAAAGCACCTTCAGTGCACTAAACTAGGTACTATGGATAAGAAGATGAAAAACAACACATTCCCTGCCTTTGAGGAGCTGACAATCTAGTCAGAAGAAATAGCATGTATGTATTTAACCATTTTACAGTTAGTAATGGAGTTGATACACATAGGAGGGATCAGAGAGAACATAAAAAATAAAAATATTCATATGTAAATCATTATACAGATTTTAATAGGGTTGGTACACATAGAAGAGATTAGAAAGAATGAAATATAGAATATTGAAGATATTCATTCTTAGAGTCTTTTTTTTTTACTTTATGTATCATTTGTACTATGTTCTAGATACTGTGATTAATTAATACATACAAATATGATCCAGTATTTTCCTACTCAGTTAACATTATGGGTATCACAGATAACTATCACCTTGGCATTGTGAGAAACACTTTTTTTTCCTGTATTTAGCCATGTTTTCTTTCCACTACCTCCCCCTTCCCAATTTTGAGGAATAATAAATATTTTTTTCCCTCTAGTAGAAATGGGCTTGCATAGTTGTCTGTATCAGGAACTATTCAGGAGGATTAGTAAGAACAATTGATAAGACCCTATTTGCTAAAAGATAGGGATAAAGATTGGTCCTGTGACTTCACAGTTGCATACGCAACTAGCACGTGGGGAAACTTCCTCCCAGTGCAGATTTCAGAACCTTTTCTGTGACTTAAGAGTCTTAAAGAGTTACCTAGAACATGTAGAAGTTATGATTTGCCTAGGCTATCATATAGCCAGTATGTGGCGGAGGCAGGGCTTGAACCCAGGCAGGGCTTCCCCACTTGGAGGCCAGTTTCCTGTCCATTACATAAGCCTGACTTTCTTTGTTAAAAGGGTGCCTAAAAGAGTCTATTTACTGGAAAAAAAAATTTGGAACGCTTTTTCAGGTAGAAAATGAAAGCTCTAAACCACAGCTACAACTATACTAGGTAGATTTTATTCTATCAGAATCCTTGGGGTAATTGGGGAACTTTGGCAATTCTTACTTAATTTATAAGGATGTTGACTGACTATTCTTTTGAAATAACTAAGTTATTTTGTTTACATTTTCTTATATGGTAATGACTAAGAATAAAGTAACAACTTTACCTCAACTATAGGAGAATGCAAAAATACTTCAAGAGAGAAGCGTTGCTTATATAAATTCTGACTCATCCATAGAAGGTAAAATTTATTTCAGATAAGTAATTTCATCTTTTAGGTTCTGAAGTATTTGCTTGTGCACCATCTAAGCTATTCTCTTCTTGTGACCTGTTTGCTATTGCTATCTTTGTTTCCCATTTTATTAGTGAAATGATATACATAGGCAATACCTTTAGTAGACTTAATTTTCACTGGTCTTGCCTGGTTTACTAAGTACATTGTCCAACTGTATTTCTGTCAGTGCAGATACTATAACAGTTTGCTTCCACGTTTTAGTCTTTCTGGGAAACATTGCATGTATTGTTTATTAAAGTACAAGAAAATATTTCACAAAGATACTCTTAAATTGGATGTAGGTCATTTTAAACCTTTGTGGTGGTTGTTTTGTTCCTCCCAAATAAGGGTGCTAAATGAGGTTATCTTTCAAATACCCTGAAGCTCTAAAATGATGAGTCTAGAGACAAGTCAGACAACTTTGGTCTTCAGGTTGTGGTGATTGTCAAAATATACAGGACCTCCCAAAAGTTTTAGTGCAGATTACAGTGTCAAAAGCTGAAAACTGCACTGACTTGAACACCCAGTATAATTATCCCCCTTTACTCTGGATATTTAGGAAATTATCTGGGATTTTTTGGGGTTCTTTTTAATGTTTCAATCCTTGACCTCTGTCTCCTACTTATGAACAACCCAGTTATAGGAAAACTGGCTTCAGCCCTCCTCCAACTTTTAGACATTGCTGACCAAGTGGTGCCTAAACCCTGTTAGTGTTCCTTCTTTCCACTATATCCCCCAAGGTACCTCCACTACTGAAGGCTTTGTAATCCCAGAATCCCCCTAGGAACTACTAGAATAAGAATGTTTTTTCTTTGCTCCTGGTTCTAACCTTTATTGCTAGAGCTTGCCCTCTGGCTATACAGCTGTGTCCTCATTTCCCTTTCCTGAGCAAAGAAGAGTTAATTTCTAAAACTATTGAAATATGCTTATAAATTAAACATTGGAAAATAAAGTTAGAATTGTAAATAATGATATTTAATTTGCACATATCTTTGTTTCTTTCTCAGGCAATTACACCCTTAGAGTGGACTGCACACCCCTTCTCTACAAATTGGTTTATAATCTGACAAAAGAGGTACATAAATGAATCTGTCACAAAATATCAGATAAAGTAAATTTATCAAGCATCTATTAAGCACCTACTATTGTTAAGGCTTTCTGCTAGGAACTAGGGATTAAAAAAAAAGTCTCTTCCTTCAAAGAACTTATTATTAAGTTACTATACAATTGGAAATATACACATTTCATTTAAGATTCTTATATTTGAATGAATTATTTTAAAATCATGACAGTTTGAAATACAGAAACTGTACCAATAGGCATTTGATGTTCCTAGCTGCAGTTAGAATGAATCAGTGTGAAATAAGGCAAGCATTTCTCTGTTTTCACACTTCAACTTTGGTACCTCCCTCTAGTCAACAAACATTAAGAAATTGTGTTTTACATGTCCATGTCACAAATTATGAGTGATCTCCCTAGTTTTTCTCTAGGCAATGATAATACATACAATCATATTGTGTATTCAGCCTAACAGTTGTCATGCAGAGAAAAAGCAGAGTGAGAGGTACATTAGACACTAAACTTAGTGTCAGGATGTCTAGGTTTGAGTCCTGACTCTGATCTTTATCACCTCTCTAAGTTTGGGGAAAACAGCAATTTAGTCTCACTAAACTTGTTTCCTCACCTATAAAATAGGCAGGACAATACTTGCTTCACCTCCCTCGATGGTAGGAAATTGCCTTATAAACCTTAAAGCTTGTTACAAATGAAAATTGTTGTGAGAGAGAGAATACTAAACAGAATACTTGATTTCTCTTCCTGGCTCTATGCTAAGTGACTTTGGACAGATCACTTAACTTCTTCATCTCAGTTTCTCAATCTATAAAATGACCTGAATTGCTTGCCCTGACTGAGATCTTTTGATATAATGGAGATGAAAGTGTTTTGAAAACAGTATAGGACTATTAGGTAATCTACTTCATTTAACATTTCCATTCATTATTTATTAGTCATCAGGTATATGAAGACCTGGGTAGCTAGGTGGTGCAGTCAAGAGGACCTAAGTTCAAAATCTGGCCTCAGACACTTACTAACTATGTGACCCTGGGCAAGTCACTTAACCCTGTTTGCCCAAGTTTCCTCATCTATAAAATAAGCTGGAGAAGGAAATGGCAAATCACTTCAGTCTCTTTGCCAAGAAAACCCCAAATGAGGTCATGAAGAGTCAGATATGATTAAACTGACTGAACAACAACAACAAAATATGAAGACTTGCTGTAGTGCTTTAAGAATCTGTGCTTTTGTCAGTGTATAGGTACTCCCTCAACATATTGTAGCCCTTCTAAGACCAAAAAGAGAATTTTTGTCTAAAAAAATTTATTGGTTTCTTTTTTTAATCACATTCATTACTTGATATATCCTTCACTTCTTCCCTACCCAGAGAGCTGTCCTTTAAACAAAAGATATGAAAGAGAAGGAAAAAAGTTCAACAAAACTAATCCACCACATCCTTCAAGTATGATAATGTATGTAGCGTTCCACAGCTATAGGTCTCCTACATTTGCAAACTCCTCAGGTTCAAATTTGGTCATTATGAGTGCATGGCATTCAGTTTTGATTTTCTTATTTTTTCCGTTTGTATTATTATGGTCATCTCATACATGTACATACATACATATATATATATATATATATATATATTTGTGTGTGTTATATATACATAGATGTGTATATATATGTTCATATATACATGTATATGTTTATGTGTCAACAGTATTACAAATTGAAGAGATGTCAATGAGAAGTTAATGAATGAGGACTGAGAAAAGCTCATCTGATTTTGTATTTGAGAAATCATTAGTGAGAAGCCAATTCTCAGTGCCCTGGGAGATTCTTAAAGCTCTGATGTGGAATAACTCCTGAGTTGAATTCATAGAGCGAGTTTCCTCACTGGGAGCTTCCTTTGCCAATGAAATCCTATCACAAATAGAACTCTTGAAAATTTAAGTGAGGAACTGATGCAAAATGAAGTAAGCAGAACTATAACACCATATAAAGATATTGTACATATCTTTCTGTAGCTGACATAGAGTAATGGACACTGTATTTTGTTAATGTTTTGTGAATTTTTTGGTTTGGATAATCATCATCATCTTTATGTTAAATGTTCCCAGTTCCTTCAATTGATCCTTATATAGTATGAACTCAAGATCCTTCATAAATCCTGGTCTGTATTCCTCAATGTTCTCTAACTTATCAGCGCCCTTCTAAAATGAAATGTGCTTAACTGAACATATTGCTACAGTTGGATTCTGACGAGGGCAAAGTACAGTGGAACTATTACCTTTTTATTTCTGGAGAATAATGCCTCTCAGTACAGTCCACGGTCACATTAGAAGTATTTTTGTTTGGCTAGAATAGCATACATCAACTCATTTTGAACTTGCCATCCACTAAAACTCAGAATATTTTTTTAGATAAACCCATTATACAACCACATCTTCTCATCTTGTACTTGTGATATCAATTTTTAACACAAGCATAAGACTTCTCATTCATTGCTATTCAATTTTATTTTTGTAATTTAGCTAACTGTTTTAGCCTGTCAAGAACTTCATGTATCCAGATCTTCATGGATGCTGACTTTTTATACTAACTGCAGATTGGGCAAGCATACCATCTATCCCTTTATCATCTCTGTGCAGATGACTTCAAATCTATGTATCTACACTTTATTTCTCACTTTAGTTTCTAGGTCACATCACTTCTTGTTATACATTTTCAAATAGATGTCCTGCTAGCATCCTAAATTCAACATAGCCAAAATGGAATTTATCATTTTCGTCCCCTCATTTCAAACTTTTCATTCCTATAAATACTAATCTATTTGTTTTGTGGACACCACTATCCTTCTGGGCACCTAGATTTTCAGCTTGTGTTGTCTTTGACTCCTGCTTTTTCTGTATCTCTTCTACTTATCACTTTCTCTTTGTTTATGTGGCCATTATCCCAATTGACACCTTTGCCTCTCTACTGGACTACTGTAATAGTTATTTATTTACTCTCCCTGCTTCTATTGTCTTCTCTTTTCAATCCATTCTCAACATAGCTGCCCACATAATCTTCCTAAATCCTAAGAGCATGTTAACTTCCCTGCTCAGAAGTCTTCTGTGATTTCCTATTGTTTCTAGTATAAAATACTAACTCCCTTAAGCAGGCATTTAAAGACATCAACATGTGGCTTTAGTGTAACTTTTCAGATGTTTCACAGTACTCTCCCTCATGCACTCCATTTTCCAGCCAAACTGAACCACTAGCAGTTTCCCAAACTCCACATGCTCTCTCCTCTCTCTACACCTTTACAAAGACTATCCGTCATACTTGGAATATGCTTCCTCTTTACAATCGTCTTTCAGAATGTTTATCCTTCTTCAACAATCAGCTTGGTTACCATGAGGCTAGAATATCCACAGTCATAGGCCTGTTAGTTTTGCTGAACCCCTTTTTTCCCTCTTTTTTATTTTTTATTACGAGGAATAACTCATAGGTAGGAGAGGGTTAAGTTATTGTCAAAATGAATAGGATGTTAAAACAAAAGATTTCAACAAAATACAATAAAACATTTTAAAAGAATTCAGGAAAGACTTTAAAGTCACAGGCTTAAAGGAAACCAATAAGGTTATAAGTGATTCAGAAAAAGTCACAGAATAATCACACAAAGTGTATAGGATCATGCCTATTAATTGTGGCAACTTTAAAAGCTGAAAGGGAAAAAAATCCCAATTACAAACTCATAAGTCTTTCCTTGTTTTTCTAAAATGAACCTGCTCATCATTTCTTACAGTACATTAGTATCCATTCCATCACAATCATATGCCACAACTTGTTTATCCATTCCCCAATTGATGGGCATCCCCCTCACTTTCCAGTTCTTTGCCACCACAAAGAGAGTTGCTATAAATATTTTAGAACATATGGATTCTTCTCCTTTTCCCCTGATCACTTTGGGAAACACACTTAATAGTGATGTTGCTGGGTCAAAGGGTATGTACAGTTTTATAACTCTTTGAGCATAATTCCAGATTGCTCTTACAAAGACTTTTAAAACATAGTGGGAGGTAGACACTTAAAACGTTGAAACATAATATTTTGTGGAACAGCTAAGCAGGCATTTCATCTGCACCAAAGCTTTACACTGTCACATCAGACCTTATCCACCTGGCGTTGGTTATCTTCTCTAAGAAGCATTATAGTAGCTACAGGGAGTACCTTCTGATGCCAATGACCTGGATTTCCTAGTGACCCTAGATACACATCTCAAGACCATAAAGTAGATGGGAAGACTAGAAATGTCCATCTTGGGATTGTGGTTCAGCCACTTGTGTTGAAGGAAAGAAACACAAAGTAGAATAGATAATCAGGGCCTTTAAATCCAGTATCAGTTTCACCTAGATGAACACATGCTCTTGCTACCATGTATAAACATTTGCCATAGCAGGGTAGAGGGTGGGGGTAGGAATATAGGGTTCTCCCCCATTGGGAAATCTAAAAGACATCTGTACAAGTTCAAAGCCATCTAGTCAGACTAGAAGAAGAGTGAAAGTGCAATCATTTCTCCATTTAAAGTCCATTGAGTGGGCAGCCCTTACTCCTCATTGTCCAATCCCCTTTGATACAAACCCTGCCCTTCACTCCCTCACACCCAAGCATCTTGGGGTGACATTAGAGGGAAAGCAGCTTAGGAGGACTAATTGGAAGTCTTTGGTTGAGTTGTTTTTTTTTTGTTTTTTTGTTTTGTTTTGTTTTGTTTTTCTTTTGTTTTTAAATTAAGGGACCTACTGGAAAGTGCCAGGGTAAATGTGTCAACAGAAAGGGCCCAGGGCAGGTGTAGCCCCAGAAGGGGGATGTGCCCTAGCAAGAACACATGGCAGAGAGGCCTCCCCTGATGGTACACATTTCACTGTAAAAATTTTCAGAGGGAAAAAGGATGACAAGTTTTTCTCCATTTGTGATCCATTTGATTATTTGTAGTTTGGTGAGATGTCTACTTAATGACTCAAATATTTAAGAGTGCTGGATATCATAAAAATGTTTCGAAATCTTACATAATAATGCTATGAACTCTCAATATATGTTTCTTTTAACTAAAGTTAAGTACTTTATTGTCATTTGGATATTTTGTTCTTCATGCTCTGGAGCTTCAGTTTATTTATCACAAGAAATTTTTATTATAGGGAAATGTCACTGAATATCTTTGTTAGGGAAACTACTTTACAACCAATGTATCTCTCTCTCTCTCTTTCTGTGTGTGTGTGTGTCTTCATTTTGTACACTGTTGCTTCATCTCTGCTTCTACTATATATTTTTCTTGATAAGGAAAATAAAAAATATTAATCTAGTTCTCTGAAATTATTTCTATTGTCATCTTTATCTGAGAAGCAGTCTTTCATAGTTTTGTTATCAGGCTTGAAAAGTATCTGCATATCTGTGAGATTTTCATCTGAAAAGATTTTTACCTTTTAATTTTTCCATTTGCATTTGTCTCAAAAGGGGACCAGACCACTAAGACTGCCACTGAAACTTCATATTAATTGTAATGGTTGACATATAAATGTGTTCTCAGTAAATGAGAAAGGTTCCTTTCATATATAGTTTCCAAAGATGTGATGGACTTCACTTATTTTGTGCCTTTCATTCTACCTCTTGGGGTGACAGTTTGTTGTCAATGTGGGAGAAAAAAAGTGAAGGAAAAACAGATTGTGGCATAACTTAAGGTTATAAGATATAAATTAAAATCTCAACTCTGTCTCAAATACGTGTGTGACTTTGGGTGAGTCACTTTACTTCTTAGATCATTAGATTCCTTAATTTATAAAATGAGATTGGATTAGGTGGCCTAAAATTCCTTCCAACTCGTGATAAAATTTCATAATCTTAGGACCTCTTGGTCAGCTTCTTGAACCAGGAAGCTATTCATCATCCAGATTACTTCTTCTGTTCTCTTTGTTTTTTTTTTCTTGACCTTTTTTTTAGTTTTATTTGTTTTTTCTTGGGCAGAGCACGGCAGAGTTGGGAGGGAGGGGAACATAGGATTTCTCCTTTCTTTTATTTCTTTGTTCACGGCATTAATGGATAATTTTATGTTTTACAATGTAACTTTATGAACTGAGCTGTTGAAACAATTTTATTTATTTATTTTTTTGTGAAATTTTGTGCTACCAAATACTTGTACTTGGAGATTTAATTATTTTGAAAGCCACACCATGGATCCAATGCACAGGCTTCTGGAAGGTATATTCCAAAGAGAATCCTATGGAAAGGATTCTGTAAGGTTCTCAACATTTTGAGAGCATGGGGTGATTGAGACACATTCACAACATGCCTATTTGGAATTTACAACAACCTTTTGAAGTAGGTAAGGGAGCTTTTTTTATATCCATTTTGCACATAAGGAAACAGGAGATTATGGGACTTGCCAAAAACAGTTTAGAATCTGCTAAGTCTACTATATCAGGGAATCTTTGTCCCCCCTTCATTTTATAGAACATTTGTGCTTATTCTCTTAGTTTGTTGCCTTCAAAAACTTTGCCGCGGAGGAAATTTTCTTTCTGACATTCTGAGTGCACACTTAAATGGTGAAAAAAAATGTAGATATTTATATGTAACTAAGAAACAAAATAGGTTGCACTCATGTATTGTGGTGCTAGCAGAAAGAACTTTGGATTTGGAGGGAGAGTCTCCAGGTTTGAATCCTGGTCTCTGGTACTGACTATCTGTCATGTTGGGCATTTGTTTCACCTCTCAAGACAAATTCTTCATCTGAAGATAACAGGGTTGGGTTAGATGATCTCTAAGGTCCCTTTCCCTCTAAATCTATGTAATTTTGTGATTTCTAATTGGTAAGTTTAAAAGCTACAGACTGAAAACCATATTCTTAAAGTACTTAAATTGAACATAACAGTTTCCATAAAGAGCAGGTATGTAGTAGTGAAAGACAGTAAGAGAGGTAGGGGAAAAAATAATGTAATTCAGAGTTCTGTAATTCAGTGTCCCTCATTAGCCTAAGTTATAGATTTGTTGATTCGTTGAAATTAAAAGTCAGAAGAGATCTTAGAGATTATCTAGTCCAACTCTTTACTTATAGCTGATAAAACTGAGGCCCAAGAAGAAAAGTTATCGGGGCAGCTAGGTGGCGCAATGGATAGAGCACTGGCCCTGAAGTCAGGAGGACCTGAGTTCAAATGTGACCTCAGACCAAACACTTGCCATGTACTAGCTGTGTGACCTTGGGCAAGTCACTTAACCCCAATTGCCTAAAAAAAAAAAAGAAGAAGAAGAAGAAGAAAAAGAAAAGTTACCTGCCTATGGGTGAACAGATAGTCAGGACTTGAACCAAGGGCTCCAGACTCTTGGATCTTACTATTCCATCGCATCGCTTCACTTGGTTTAGGCACCATTTTTTCTCTGTCATTAATTATGTTTTTTCCTACCCCCTTACATCCAGCCCGATATGTAAAAAACTGGTGACAGCATATTCAGAGTGTGATGTTGTAGAAGAGGAAGGCCTAGGAGTTAGTAGACTTCCTTCTAGTTCTACCTTTCCCAAAATAATTAGGCAAGTCTTTGGATCTCTTTGGGCCTTAGAATCTTCCCTGCAAATTCAGAGGATTTTGTCAAGTGATCTCTGAATCCCCTTCCCACTCTAAAGTTCTGTGTTTAAAAGTAAAAATTGGCTAATTTCAAAGAGATAGGGAAAGTCAGAACAGAATTAGGTTTGTCAGTCTGGGCCAGAGTTAAGGTTCTTGATAAAAACAAAAAAATTAGGTGAGCCATCATTTTGGTAAACATTTCCTGTAGCCACAGGTCCAGACAGTTTTTCTTTCCCCCTCCAGCAAAGGAGCAGATGCTAAGGTTTAGTTTATTCCAAAATACGTCACTGAGAAAACTGGATTGTGGTTTTTGCCTAGTCCTGTGATTTCATCAGTAAAAGAAATTCCCCACATGGCAACTGTTATCATTGATAGAGATTGGCAACTTCTCTGTAACTTTTATAGACTGAGAGGGTTCTTGGGATACTGAGACGTTAAACCTCTTGTGATTATATTAAACTCAGTTCTGTTTTCATCTAAAAATTAATTACATTCTCTCAGAAAATGAACTTCATCTCTAGTCAGGAATAGTGTTTTGGTGGACTTTGGCTATGAGCTTACTCTTGTAAGTTACTAAATAAGCTTCCCTAACATGGATCATATCCAGCCTTCTTAGGACTGCCCCATATCCTTTTAAGCAAAAGTTACCAAAGTACAAATTTTGCCCAAAGTTTTTAGTTAAAGAAAAGACAAAATGCCAAAAATATTTTTTAAAATTTTGCAAGTCTTTTAAAAAAATGCTTAAAAAAAAGACTTCCATCTTTAACAGTAATGTGGTAAAAACAACCACCTGGGAGATAACTTTTTGCATACTTGCAAATAGGCACTTATCTGCAAATGAGCCTTAACTTATAATATTAAGTTGGAATGGATACAAACAGACACATTTACATAAAGGTTTATGGAATCTAATTTACAAAATGCTATTTCATAATAACTTTTAAAAATTCAATTTAACATGTATATATGTAGGTATTGTTGTTTAGTCAATTTTTCAGTCGTATCTGTGACCTCATTTGAGATTTTCTTGGCAAAGATACTAGAGGGATTTGCCATTTCCTTCTCTAGCTCATTTTACAGATAAGAAAACTGAGGCAAACAGAGTTAAGTGATTGCCCAGGATCATAGAGCTAGTGTCTGAGGCCAGATTTGAATTCAAGATGAGTCTTCCTGACTCCAGGCCCAGCACTCTATCTACTGTGCCACCTAGCTACCTTTGGGTATATATAAGGATACACACATTTTTTTTTGTAGCAGCACAATTGATTATACTTTTGCTTCTGATTTCCCAATACGTGTTTTACCTCTCCAGATTGCCAGTCCTGATGATGGTTTTGAAAGCAAATCTCTTTATGAAAGCTGGTTGAAAAAGGACCCTTCACCTGAAGATAACAATATTCCTAGGTAAATTTTTTAAACATATGTCTTGTGTGTACTAGAAAATGAACAGTGGATTTCACTTACTCCTTGATGGCCTAAAAAGTATAACTTCTAAGAAACTCTTTTTTTCTTTTTTCTTTCATTGGGATGGGCATTAGGAGGGAGAAAAAAATTTTTTTTGTATTGAGGTGAAAGGTGCTACATATGTGAAATATTGGTTGCACTTTCAGATGAGATCACTAAATTATTTTACCTGTTTCACTTTGTTACAAGATACATCTTATCGGGTGGAAGTAATCTGTAAATGTTTATAATGTAATAACAAAATACATTAATAAAACAAAACAAAAATAAATCTAACCCTACCCCTAGTTTTCCCTATCTCTGCCCTATACTCCAGTCTACACCATTGAGTAGGAGAATGGGTATATGGCAAAACCAATGTAAAGTTGCCCATTTATTTTAGGGTGATTTTATATTCATCACTGATTTTCACCCTCATATGCAATAACAGCATAAAAGCTAGATAATGGCTCATTAATTTAGTATATTTAACTACAACTCAGAAATATTTCATTTCATTTTTTCTCTATAGCTATTTCCCTTTATTCATTTTATGTCATTTTTCTTCATTATATGTTCACTTCTAGAACCAGCCAGTAGAACAAGAGGTTCCTAACCTTGCAAAAGCTGTATCAGAAAGTTTAGTTTCATTCCCTCTTCTTCAATTGGATTTTCTAGCAGATTTGAGTAGTGTGACTAAATCTGCCTTCAGCTATTTTCTTTCTTAATAAAATAAAAAACAAAAACTCACCAGTATTGTCTGTATTACTAAAATGAAAATAAGATGCATTTAGTTTTGCCAGGACTGAAATTCTCTAACATTTTATGGGGAAAAGAATACTTACGTGAATTGTGGTTTTCATCTAGTCCTGTGATTTCATCAGTAAAAGAAATCTGTAGCATGACAACTTTTACCATGGATATAGATTAGCAAATTGTCTGTAATGTTTTCAATTGAGAGAGTTGCCTGAGGTTAAGCCTCTCATTATTATATTAAATGTAAAACAGTTCTATTTTCATCCAAAAATTAAATTCTCTTAGAATATTTTTCTGTCTCCTATCAGGAATAGAGTTGTGGTAGACTTAGGCTATGAGTTATTGTGGAAAGTTGACTTCATATTGATTTTTTTTTATGTATAGAATAAATAAACTAGGATCTGGGAGTGATTTTGAAGCTTATTTTCAGAGGCTGGGAATTGCTTCAGGTAGAGCCCGTTATACTAAGAACAGGGTAAGCCATTTTATTATCTGGAGTAAGAATTTTATTCTATATACATATATGAATAATATTTTAATAAATAGTAAAATGAATAATAATACATAATAAAGTATATGCCTATGTGTGTATATAAATAGCTATCTATAGTATACATACATTATATATGCATATGTATGTATATATGTTTGTGTATATATAGGTCAACTAAGCAAATGCTGCCACTTTTGATGACCTATACTGGGTGAACAGGTTTCCTGGTTCCATTCTTTTCTAAGTTCCTATAGACTATGAAGTGTTATTTCATGCCTTGTGAATTACTACATCTGAAATATGCTAGTGCTGTAGTAGTGAGGAAATCAGTGCATACATAGTTCTACTATCTATCTACTATCTACTATCAGGATTTGAAGGAATCTCAGAGCCTAACTAGTCAAATCCATATCTCAAGAGAAATCTCCTCTACAATGTCCCCAAAAAGTGATCAATCATCTGTCCTTTGCATAAAGACTTCTAGTTTGGAGGGACCTACTGCCTCCCAAGGTGACCCATTTCACTTTAGACAGCTCTAGTTGTTAAAACAGATTTCCTTATATCAAGGCTAAATTGGCTTCTTTGTAATTTCTACCCTTTGATCCTAATTTTGCCATCTGGAACCAAATAAAATAAATCTGTTCACTCTTCTGAGAGCCAGCCCTTCAAATGCTTGAAGATAACTATCATCTCCCCTCTCAAGCTTCTCTAGGCTTAACATTCCTAGTTCTTTTAATTGATCCTGATGGAGATCAAATGAGATTTTGGCAAATTTTAAAGTGACACATAGAATCAGTTACTAGTAGTATTGTTGTACAAGAATAGTCACATTTGTAATGTCTATCTCAGATAGTTTGTGGTTGAGGCTTTCATTTTTTCATTTTGAAAATCTCAATTATTTTATATGTGAATTATATTAAAATACAACTTTTTTTATGAAACCAGTTATCAAAAATGTGTGAGAACTATTTTAAAATTTTGTGTAAGCAGAATTTTTGTGACCCATAAAGTTTGTAAAATAAGGTTTGAGGCATTTTCAAATTATTGCGCATTTGGTTTGTGGAGTTTTAGAGCATTAAGATTTTATAAAATCAGTCATCAAATATTTATTAAGTGACTATTAGATCCAGGAATTGAAAATATGAGTACAAAAGATAAAATATTTTCTACTTACATTCTAATGGGAGAGATAAGTGAATATACAAGTATATACAGCTTAATATAAATGCAAACATATACAAGGATAACAAAAAATATACAGAATCACAGAATGTCAGAGTTGGCAGAGAACCCTAAAGCAACCATTTACTCCAACCAGTTATCTGAGCAAGAAATCCCTTCAGATGTTTTACAGTGTTTTCTTAAATTTATCTAGGGGAAAGAAACTCATCACCAACCCATTACCCATTCCACTTTTGGACCAACTGTTAGGAAGTTTTTTTTTGTTTGTTTGTTTTTGTTTCATTTTATTTTGTTTACTTCAATTATTTAATGTTTTCACTTAATTGTGGAGAAGGCTATAGTGACATATGAATATAATTTTTTCACAATTGCTTTTTTATTTTCACTTAAAGTTTTTAACATATGTCTTTGCTTTTTTCCCCCCACCCTAGAAAACAGACAAGTTCAGTAGCTATCCAGTTTACCACACTATTTATGAGACTTTTGAGCTGGTCGACCAGTTTTATGACCCTACCTTTAAGAAACAACTTGCTGTAGCCCAGTTACGAGGAGGACTAGTATATGAACTTGCAGATTCCAGAATCATTCCTTTCAATATTCAAGACTATGCAAAAGCTTTAGAGAACTATGCTACCAGTATTTATAATTTATCCAAGAAACATGACCAACAATTGAAAAACCATAGAGTATCATTTGGTAAGTAGTAGTTGACATTTTTTGTGGGTCAGACTTAAGAAATTACCTTCTTTCATAAAAATTTGATAATTACTTCCAATAATCATTATCATTATTCAGTTATTTGTTTTAATATTAAATTGGACTGATTCCTAAAAATAAATTTGGCAAAGGAATGTCTGTCACAGAAAATAAATTCCAAACCAAATTCTGCTCATTTCAAGAGGCAGCAATTGAAGGTACCTGAACAAATATCCATGAGGATTACTAGTTAAAATTTGCCTGCTCTTCCAATTTGCTTGCTTTTCCAAAATTTGCCTACTCATAAATATGTGATAAGATCTGATGTAAATGATGAGATTTCCATAACCAAATTGGTTCATTCCTTGAAACTGATAAACAAACTATGTATGTAGCATGTTTCTTCTTGGGTGGATAAGTGCTGGAAACATCAGGTATGTAAATGTCTTTCCTATATCACTGCCCTTGTAAAGAATTAAAACTGAGCTGCACCTATAATATCTGTAACCAGTACTTACAAGGCTTGTGATAGAGTTTTTAATCATTGCATAAAGGTTTAAAGAGAATATTAATATAGCTTTGAAAAGCTACAAAATCGATATTACTGGTATTATTTTCCATATTTATTAAGAACAAAGCTTTGCTGAAGCCATATTTATTTGAGGCAAGGATGATTATTTTATACCCTGAACATGTGAGTCCATGTTCACTTTTAAAAATACATGATAATTCTTAATTCTGTTCTACATTACTATTTTTAATTGCATGTAAGATTACTAACTATAGTTTTTGGAAGACTTTGGCTTTTTTTTATAGCACTCTTGCCATATGGAGAATATGTTTAGATGGTCGAGTGCCCACTTAATATGCAAAGAGGTATCCAGATAGATGCCTGAATCCTCCACTTTACAGGGTACCCGCTGTGTGGAGTGGTAGAAAAGCATTGGGATTAGGAGTCAGAAACTTGATTTTTAATCCCAGCACTTCCATTTGCTACTTGTGTGACTTTGAACAAGCTCTTTCCCCATTCTAGGACCTCAGTTTCCTCACCTGTAAAATGAAGGGATTAGACTAGTTGAGCCCTTAGGGATCCTCTTCAACTCTAGCTGGTACAATATTATGATTTTCCATGGTCAGTGACTACTGTTGTTAAGGAATAAGCCATGCTATAGCGAAAAGTTAGTGATCTTAAATGTAAGATGAATAAAAAATCTGCTACCTGACTCAGATAATTCTAAAATTATTTAGAAATCCCTGTTTCAAGGGAAATTCTTATGATTCAGATGTAGGTATGGGGTTGGGGGTGGGAGTGAGGAATGAGAAACTTATATAGTTGGCATGTTATGGGTACCTAATGATTTTAAAGAAGGAATGTTTCTTTCTATAATGCTTAAAGATGTTTTTGAATTGTGTCAATAATAATAAAATAATAACGTAGCATATTTGTAGTTCTTTACTTTTTGCAAAGTACTTTAGATTAATAGTCTTATTTCAACTTCATAATGACCCTGTGGAATAAGGAATCTGATTATCCACATTTTGCATATGAGGAAACAGGTTTAGAGATGTTGAAGTTGCCCAGAGTTAAACAGCTTGTAGGTTTCAAACCCCATTGAGTCTTCAGAAACTGTATGACTTAATGCGTCCAACAATGAAATTGTTTATTATTATCATTGATTTGGCTGCATATATTCACCTCTTCACAATGTTCTTATTAGTCATTCTTGCAAATGATTTGTGGCTGATAGATGTACAAAGGAGTAAAGCAGAAGTAAGAGGGCAAAGGGGAATGGGATGTGTTTTACCAAATATTTATCCTGATCCAGGTATAATTTTACCCAAGCATTTTTTATAAAGCAAAAAAAAAAATGTGTTAGTTCTACCCCTCAATGTCAGGTAGATATACATATATGCATATTTATGCATATACATAAGTGTACATGTGTATATATGCATATATGTGTTCACATACACATAATTTGTGTGTGTACATGTCTATATATCATCACAATCATTTTCATTTGTTAGTATCCTGATGCTGTACTTCAGTTAATCAGTAATTGGCAAGCTCTTATTTAAGTGCCCACTAGAGCCAGGCACTCTGCTAAGCAATGGGCTTACGAAGACTAAAAAAATTAAACAATTTCTGCTCTCAAGGAATATACATTCTATTAGGGAGATAACATGTATGTATCTAAGTAGTGTGGAAAGCAAATATAAATTAGTGGAAGATAGGGAGGGAGAGCATTGGTGGTTGAGGGAGTGGCTTAAGAAATGCTTTCTGTAAAAGTGGTTTTTGAGCTGTGGGAGTGCATTACAAGCATGGGACATGAATAGTGCGAAACCATAAAGAAGAAAAATGAAGTGTCAGGTGAGGAATGGAAGAGAAGATAAGTTTGTTTAGACTCTAAATGTAGTACCAGAAATAATGTAATGAAATTGTAAAGATAGGTTGAGATCAGATTGTCAAGGCCTTAAAAAGACAAACAAAGGAGTTTATATTTTTATCGTAGAAGCAATAGGGAAGCCACTACCACTGAAGTTTGTTGAGGAAAGGAGTTACGTGGTCAGATCTGTATTTAAGAAAAAATCACTTTGGCAACTGCGTAGAGGATAGATTGGAACTGAGAGAGATTGAATTAGGGAGATCAACTAGGAGATCATTGAAAAAATCCAGGAAAGATGTGATGAGAATTTGGACTAAAGTGATGGCCATGTTGAAGAGAAGGAATCAAATGTAAGAGATGTTGGGAAGCAAGAAGCAGTAGTGTTTGGCAAAGGATTCAACATATAGAGAAAGGAGGATAAACCTGGAAGAGTAGAATGACAGCGTCCTTAACAGAATGATGGAAGTTTGGTAGAACAGAGTGGGGAGAGATATATATACTCTCTTTTTTTGGACACATTAAGTTTGAGATGTCGTGGGGACATCCACTCTGACATTAGCTTCTGGTGTATCACTGAATGTATGGGACTAGAGCTTAGGAGAGAGACTGGGATTGGACATATAGATCTGTGAGTTATTTTAAACCCATGAGAACTACTGAAGTCACCAAGAAAGTGTATAGAGAAAACTGAGCCAATGACAGAGCCTTGGAATGCTTATACCATTGGGGTAATTTTACAAATCACAGCAAAGAATGCGGTTAGGCAGATAGGAGGGAAACCAAGAATGAAAGAATAAAAAAGTGTTTATTTAATTAATACTTACTATGTGCAAAGCACTGTGCTAATAAGCACTGGGGATACAAATAGAAAAGTAAGAAAGTTTCTGATTTAAGGAGCTCAAATTCAAATGATACAGAAGGTTTCAGCTGCTAATTGGATAGAAAATTCCCATGGTCCTTAGGGTACAGAGGTAAAACAGATGAATAATATATCATCTCTAATTTCATGTTTACTGAAAAAATCATCAGTTTCTAGTGTTGATTCACTTAACAGTGTCAAGAACTTTGGGGGCAAACTCTTTTCTGGGTCTTCAGTGGCTATACCTGCAGAACTCATGAAGGCAGTTAGTTGTCAGGTCATATCTCTATGAGGGTTGCTTCCCAGGGTGATGTCTCTGAGGGTTGGGCTGGAAGTAGGACCAGTGGCCTGGGGTATCCTGCCACCATTCTTGGGTTTATGTGCCAATTGGTGCCGCATGTTATCAGTTAGCGCGTATATTTCTTCACAAGGATTTCTCCATTAAATATGAAGAATGACCTGGAAGTAGGACTGATAGTTTTAGGAGAAATTAATATTTCCAAGGCTTTTGAGTTTAGGATCCTGGGGTATCTCTATTGTGGTCTGAGGAGAGGTGGTGGTCGAACTGGTGGTGATAGTTTGACTTGCCTGGCACAAACTGCCTCCTAGATCTCCCACAGGGCTCCTCGCTAATTCACCTAGGTTGGTTTGGCTTCCCCATAGGTGACAGTCAGTCAGTACTTGGAGGGATGACTAGCCTCTTCTTTCTAAGAGTTGCTTCCTTGGATGGCTGTGGAGATGGGATAGAAGTAAGACTGGAGGTCGAGGAAGGATAGGCCTTCTTCTGTTCTTAAGGTGCTTGGGTTCTGGTACTGAGCTGTCTGTAAAGAGGTGGTGGTCAGGGTGGTGGTGATAGTCTGACTTGCCTGGCCAAGCTTCCTGCTGCAGTATACCTTTATGCTTCATGTAGGAAGTAATTTTCCAGGAGAGAGTAATGTCACAAGAGCCCAGAGAGACAAGAATACCCAGGAGAGGATGGCAAACAGTGTCAAATGTAGCAAAGAGGCCAAGAAGGATGAAGACCAAGAAAAGACCATCAGATGTAGCAGTTAAGAGATTCTTGGTAACTTTAAGAGAGATAGTAGGGTATAGTGAAGGCTTTTGAGAGGGAGGGCGGATGATTGGGAGTACAATCTAGTTGGGAAGATAAGAGGGTCCCTCTTGAGGGTTTGGCCTTGGAAAGGAGAAGAGCTACACCTCATCAAGAGACTAGAGGAAGGAAGTGAATAGGGATCAGAGGATCAAGCACAAGAGAAGAGGGAATTCATGGGAAAAAATGGTCTCAATTGGATGACCATCAACAGTATAATGAAGACATGCTCTCTTTCCTTGAAAACTTGGATGTCTGAAGAAAATTCTCTGATTTTTACCACGATGAGGCCAACACCATTAACTTGGATTTTTAGTTTTCCAGGCATGTCAGTTTTGCCATAGATTGCCATTTAGGTGAGGTTCCAATTTGTAATCTTTTTCAGTTCACATCATTAATCAACTGATAAGCTTTTATTAAGCACTTACTATATGCCAGGTATTATCCTAGGTGCTTAGAAACAAATGCTTACCTATATGTAATGAAACTTATATACAAACTAAATACAAAGTAGTTTGGGGAGAAGGGGTAGAGCGCTAGCAGCTGAGGTGTTCAAGAAAGGCCTCATGTAGAAAAAGTCACTTGAGTCAAGTTTTGAGAGAAGATAGGAATTCTAGGAGGTAGACATGAGGAGGGGGTGTATTCCAGGCATGGGAACCAGTATGTGCCCTGTGAAATGGCACCAAAAAAGGAAGTGGAACAGTTCAGTTGACTAGTTTGACTGTAATGAAAGGGGTAATAGTGATTAATAAGCCTACAAAGGTAGGGGTGAAGGCAGATTATGAAAGGTTTCACTTTTATCTTTATGCAGAGTTTGAGCAATGCTGCAGTTTAGGTAGTCTGTGTGGGTGTATGTCCCTGTTACTGTTTGAGCTGTGTTTTTTTTTTTCCTACCATTTACAGGCTTTCTAAGATTCTTGGCTGCTATCCTCTCAAAAACAAATTTTAATCCTGTTCCATTTTCATACAACACCTACTTGCTAAAGACATTTGCTAATCACCTCCATGATTCTGCAGGAACTGTTAGCTAAAAAATAGGGGGAAAAAAGAACTTTTTAGGACCATCTGGAAAGGGGAGGTATAGATAGGCAAGTGAGCCTGTGAAATGTGAAGCACTTTTAAGAGTATTGGCTCTTCCTCTGACATTACTCTTCCAAAAACCTGTACTTCTTTTTCCTTTTAAAGATTCCTTATTTTCTGCTGTGAGAAACTTCACAGATGCTGCTGCAGATTTTCATAGAAGACTTGCACACATTGACTTTAATAAGTAAGTTTAAAATGCCAGGGCACCAAACCTTTTTATGAAAGAAATCTGTGGAATAACAAAATCTGTCAATGTATATTGATAAAGCATTTAAATGATGGAGCCTGAAACCCTAGGACACAATATGGATAAATGATGAAACTTTAGGATCTTACATACTAAAAATGATTGGAATTAATTGATGGTTCTTTGGATACATGTCTATTTGTAGAGTCTCTTACTGTAGCATGAGGTTTGTGATATGCAAACCTTGGGCTATGAATTACTGGGTGAACTTTTACATGTCATCTAATAACTTCAAAGGTGATATGAGAATGAGAAACAGTTATATTTGTTACATAGTGATGATAACTTTGCCAGTAAAGTATTGAATGAGAGACATCATTGTGGTGGACAAATGATATATTATTCACCTCATTTAAGCTTAATTATGTCTTGCCTCTTTTTTTTTTTAATTCCTTTGAAATGTTTTGGTGGTAAAAGTGATTACTTTTTTTTCTTCCTTACAGCCCAATTGCAGTGAGAATTGTGAATGATCAGTTGATGCTGTTGGAAAGAGCTTTCATTGATCCCCTTGGTTTACCTGGAAGGCAATTCTATAGGTAAGATGGTGGAGATGAACCTTTAGTGGGTACAAGGTACCATACACAGACCCAAATGTACACAGTGCAGTGGATCTTAAATCTCTTTTAGAATGATGGAATACAGTTGAGTAGAAAGGTTTATATATACTGAAAGCCACATGGTTAAGATAATGTGTCTCCTGTAACAGTATGTATGTTTGGTGTACCTGATGTATTTTATATTACCTTACATAGAATGGAACTCTGTAAACGTTTAATTAATTGAAAGAGAAGTCTCTTCATTTAGTGATATAAGGGAATAAGTATTAGGAGTAATAAATAGTTAAAATACAGTTCATAATAATTCACTATAATAAATCACTGATGTATAGTACTTTTTGGTTTACAAAGCACTTTATTCATGACATCTCTGTGAGAGAAACTGTATTATTATATTTTATTTTTTCCCATTGCATGTCAAGAAAATTTTTAGCATTCATTTTTACAAGATTTTGAGTTCCAATTTTTTCTCCTTCCCTACCTCCCCTCCCTTCTTCTGAAAATGGTAGGCAGTTTGATATAGTTTATACATGTGCTGTCATGTAAAAATATTTCTATATTAGTCATAATTGTGAAAGAAGAAACAGATCAAAAGAAAAAAAACATGGGGAAGAATAAAGTAAGTGGGAAAAAATATGTTTCAATCTGCATTGAAAGTCCATCAGTTCTTTACCAGGATATGAACAACATTTTTCTTCGTGTGTCCTTTGTACTTGTCATGGATTATTGTGTTGCTGAGAAGAGCTGAGTCATTCATAGTGACCATCACACAATGTGGCTGATATTGTGTACAATGTATTACTGATTCTGCTCATTTCACATTGCTTCAATCCATACAAGTCTTTCCAGTTTTTTCCGAAATCTGCCTGTTCATTTTTTATTGCACAATAGTATTCCATTACATTCATATAACACGACTTGCTCCGCCATTCCCCCAATTCCCCTCAAAATCGCTACCACAAAAAGGGCTGCTATAAATATATTTGTACTTGTGAGTCTTTCCCTTTTTTATGATCTGTTTGGGATACAGAACTAGTAGTGGTATTACTGGGTCAAAGGGTATGTCCAGTTTGGTTGCCCTTTGGACATAGTTCTAAATTGCTCTCCAGAATGGTTAGATCAGTTCACAACTCCATCAACCTTCTTTGCCTATTTTTCCAAATATTTTATATAGTATTGTAATTACTTTTTCTTAAATGTTTAGTAGAATTCACTTGTGAACCCATCTGGCCCTGGGGATTTTTTTCCTAGGGAGTTCATTGATGACTGGTTCAGTTTCTTTTTCTAAGTTAGGGTTATTTAAGCATTCTATTTCCTGATCTGTTAATCTAGGTAATTTATATTTTTGTAAATATTTATCCATTTCTCTCAGATTATCAGATTTATTGACATATAATTGGGCAAAATATTTTCTAATGATTGCTTTAATTTTTCCTTCATTGGTGGTGATTTCACCTTTTTCATTTTTGACTGGATAATTGTTTTTCTTCTTTCTTTTTTTAAATTAAATTAATCAATTTCTTATCTATCTTATTGTTTTTTTTTTATAAAACCAGCTTTTAGATTTATTTATTCACTCAATTTTTTTAACTTCCAATCATTAATATTACCTTTGATTTTCAGGATTTCTAATTTGCTGCCCAATTGGGGATTTTTAATTTGTTCTTTTTCTAGTCTTTTTAGTTGCATGTTCAATTCATTCATCTGTTCTTTTTCCATTTTGTTGATGTGAGAATTTACAGAAATACATTTTCCCATAAGTACTGCTTTGGCTGCATCCCATAAAATTTGGTATGTTGTGTCACTGTGGTCATTCTCTTTAATGAAATTATTGTTTCTAATGATTTGTTCTTTGACCTACTCCTTCTTTATGATTAGATTATTTAGTTTCCAATTAATTTTAAATCTATATTCCCACTGCCATTTGTTGAATGTAATTTTTATTGCATTATGATTTGAAAGGAATACATTTAATATTTCTGCCTTTTTACATTTGATCTTGAGATTTTTATGCTCTACTACATGGCCAGTTTTTGTGTAGATGCCATGGGCTGCTGAGAAAAAATGTATACTCCTTTCTGTTCCCATTAAGTTTTATCCAAAGGTCTGCCATATCCAACTTTTCTAAAATTCTATTTACCTCCTTAATTTCTTTCTTGTTTATTTTTAGGTTGGATTTATTGAGTTCTGAGTTGAGGTCCTGCAGTAGTATGGTTTTGCTGTCTATTTCTTCTTGTAACTCACTTAACTTCTCCTTTAAGAATTAGATGCTATACCACTTGTTGCATATATGTTTAGTATTGATATTGCTTCATTGTCTATGGTACCTTTTAGCAAGATGTAGTTTCCTTTTTTATATCTTTTAATTAGGTTTATTTCTGCTTTTACTTTGTCTGAGATCAGGATTGCTATCCCTGCTTTTTTTTTTTTTACTTCAACTGAAGTATGATAGATTCTGCTACAGCCCCTTACCTTTACTCTGTGTGTGTGTGTCTCTTTGCTTCAGGTGTGTTTCTTGTAAATAACATATTGTAGGATTCTGGTTTTTGATCCATTCTGCTGTCCACTTTTGTTTTATGGGAGAGTTCATCCTATTCACATTACAAGTATAATTACTACCTATTTATTTCCCTCCTTTCCTGTTCTTCCTCCTGTCTGTCCTCTCTCTCCTTTCACCCTTTCCCTCCTCACCAGTGTTTTGCTTCTGTCTACCACCTGCCCTGATCTGCCCTCCCTTCTGTGAGACTCCACCCCCCATTTTATTTGATCTCCTCCCCTCCTACGTTCCTGTCAGGTAAGATAGATTTCTATATTCAACTGATTTTGAAATAATATACACAATTTTTTTTTAAATTTCCTTGAGCCAATACTGATTAAAGTGCAAGCCACACTTATCGCCACCTTTCTATTTCGCCTCCACTGTAATAGTTCTTTCATGCCTCTTTGTGTAAATAATTTACCCCATTTTATTTCTCCCTTCCTTCTGTACCCATTGTATTCCTCTTACTCACCTGTTATTTTTTTGTATCATCCCCTCATTCACCTAGTATCATCATCCTATGTAGGGATGTAAGTAGTTTAGCTCTGTTGAATCTCTTATGTTCTTTTCCCTTTTTATCGGTTGATGCTTCTCTTGAGTCTTGATATTATAGGTAATATTTTTGGTTTAGTTGTGGTCTCCTTATGAAAGTTTGAAACCCTCCTATTTCATTGAATGACCATTTTTTTTTACCTTGGTTTATTATGTTTAATTTTGTTGGATAAGTGATTCTTCACTGTAGTCCTAGCTCCTTTGCCTTCCAGAATATCATGTTCTGTGACCTCTGATCCTTTAATGTTGTAGCTGCCAAGTCTTGTATAATCCCGATTGTGACTCCCCTATATTTGAGTTCTTTCTTTCTGGCCACTTGTAGTATTTTCTCCTTGACCTGATAGTTCTGATAGTTCTGAAATTTGGCTATAATGTTCCTTGGAGTTTTTATCTTATTTTTCCTGAGGTGATCAGTGGATTCTTTCAATGCCTGTTTTGCCCTCTGGTTCTGGGACATCAGGGCAGTTTTCCTTGATAATTTCTTTAAAGATGCTGTCCAGGTCCTCCTTTTGATTATGGTTTTCAGATAATCCAACGATTCTGATATTATCTTTCCTGGATTTGTTTTCCAGGTCAGTTGTTTTTCCCATGAACTATTTAACATTTTCTTCCATTTCTTCATCCTTTTAATTTTGTTTGATTGATTCTTGAGATCTCATAGTGTCATTAGCTTCCACTTGCCCAATTCTAACTTTTTTATTGTTTTTTTTATTGTTTTCCTCAATTAGCTTTTGTACTTTTTTTTTTTTGCATGTGTTCAGTTGTACTCTTTAAGGAGTTGTTTTCTTCAGTGGATTTTTGTATCTCTTTTTCCATTTGGCTAATTCTACTTTTTAAGCAGTTTTCCAAACTGTTGACTCTTTTTTCATAATTCTTTTACATCACTCTCATTTCTTCTTCCCATTTTTCTTCTACCTCTCTTGTATGATTTTTAAGCTTCTTTTTGAGTTCTTCCATAAGTTCTTTTTGGACTTGAGACTACTTGCCATTTTTCTTTGGAATTTTGGCTGTAGGTGTTTTGATATCGTGGTCCACTTTTGAGTTTGTGTCCTGGTGTTCCCCTGTCGCCAAAACTCTAGATGGTCAGATTCGCTTTTTGTTGTTACTTGCTCTTTTTTGGGGGCATTTTTCCTTTATTTTAAATTTGATCTCTGCTCCCAGGGTGGAAGGGGCTCTCTCTCAGGTTCCCCACCCCATCAAAGTGATCTCCAGATTCAAACTTGAAGCCTTTTCACATAAATATTTCCTTGATATATATTAAGAATTTTACATTTGTTGAGGACCAGTGATATTTTGATATTATTGGAGAAAGGTTCTATAATATGAAATAGCCATTCAGTTTGTTTTGTGGTGGAGCCGTATAGCTTAATGTAAGCCGTATACATCAAGTGGTTAAATAAATATTTGAGTTTGACTAATTTTGTAACCACACAGTTCTTTTTAGTAGAAATGATAATGAACTTAAAACTAAGTAGAACCACAGTAGATTTGAACTATCCCCCTAAAAAAGGACACATTTTATATGAATTATCCTTGAAAGTATTGCATTGGTGTCATATTTTAAATAGAAAACAGTTTTCTATGTGGACATAAAATACTATAATGTTGGCATCATACTTGGGTCTGTTTTATATATTTGGAGCACACAAATAAGCTATGTATGTGGAACTGAGTCAAAATCTTTGAAATAATCAACAAAAATTATATCTGTGTTATGGTACCTTGAGGTAACTTATTCAGTTATTACCAAATTAATAATTGGTGTGCTATTTACGATTCCGAATTTTTTTGTCACACTCACTTGTTCCACAGCAAATATATTGTTTTTGTGTGAGGACAGCTTTTTCATAGTAAAAGCTGTAATTGATTTCTATAAATTATTTAAGCA